GTTTCACCATGTTGGCCAGGCTGGTCTCAAACTCCTGACCTCAGGTGATCCACACGCCTCGGCCTCCCAAAGTGCTGGGATTACAGGCATGAGCCACCGCGCCCAGCCTGGGTGAGGTTCTTAAAGGAGCAAGACTAGCTGATGGAGGGACCAGGTCAGCACCAGAAGCAGGAACCAGGAAAGTGATGCCAAATCCTGTCCCAGAGGCAATGGTTGTCTTCCTTCTCTTGAGATCTTCCCTGGGGACAGGCTAGACTGGATGGCTGCCAGGGGTGGGGACCAGGGACTGACCATGGACAGTCCCTCCCTCAGCAGCTCCCATCCTGTCAATCTCCTGTGTTGCTTTTCTCATTTAATGAAAGATTCACTGGCCTGGGGTCTTTACTGAGCCCTCCCCAAACAAGCCCTGCCTCTCACCAAAGATTTCTGGGACTCAAAGTACCTGGTTTAAAAGAACAACTTGGGCTGGGCGTGGTGGCTCACGCCTGTAATCCCAGCACTTTGGGAGGCTGAGGCAGGCGGATCATCTGAGGTCAGGAGTTTGAGACCAACCTGCCCAACATAGTGAAACCTTGTCTCTACTACAAAAATTAGCCAGATGTGGTGGTACACACCTGTAATCCCAGCTACAGTGAGCCGAGATTGTGCCACTGCACTCCAGCCTGGGCAATAGAGCAGGGCTCTGTCTCAAAAAAAAAAAAGAAAGAAAAGAAATTTTAAAAAATTTAAAAAGAACAGTTTGTGGGAGAGAACCAGGTGGTTCTGTTCCAAGCTCAGGATCTTCTATCTGGCCCTGTTCTGAACCTCCTGCATCCAACCCCTGGCCCCATCCCTCTGGTCTAGCCCCCTGCTGATTGACTGATTGGAGTACGTCTGAATGAACCAAGCTCCTGAAAGTATTCCTAAGATTCCTGAAATCTGGGTGCTCAGAAATGGGCGCAGATGGAGGTCTTATGACCTGAACACTTGCTAGGGGTGAATCCCACCTGAGAACCCAAACATGGCCCCACCTTTCCTGGAGAGGTCTTGGAATTGCCATGGGCTTGTGACAGGAAGTGGGGTGTGGCCGTGTCCCTTCCTACCATGGAGATTCTGAGCCCCATGAAACCTCTGAGTCCTCCCTGGTTGCTCTTCTTTCTCTGGAGTGACTTGGAAGGACTGGGAGGAGGGCAGGCGGAGAGATGTGAGCAGCACAGAGGGCATGGGTCCCAGTGTCCCAGAGTCCCTGCCTGAACTGAGCTTCCCGGACTGTGCTCTGCCGGTCGGCCCGGCCAGCCTGTCTGTGGATGGGAATGCTGCCTTGGGACTCCTGTTCCCAGCACTAGGATGTGCCTAAAGATAGCTGAGGCTCGCTCTCCTCCCCGCTCTCTGCCCTTTGGCTTTTGCCCACTGTTGCTGCGTTTGAGGCTCATAGCATCCGTCCCATGGGCACCCCCAGTGGTTGCTTGGAGATTCTATTCCTGCTTCCTTTTCAGCTCTGCTGATGACCTTGGACTATTCCACTCTATTCTTGGGTTCCAGTTTGGGACTGAAGCCACCTCCGTTCAGTGCTTGTCTCTAGACACAGCCTCTGAGGTGCACAGGGCAGCTGGTCCCAGCCGAACCCCATCTCTACTAACATAGGCAGCCCAGTCAGCACGTTTGTGTCTTCCGTGTCTTCCTATGGCCAGTAACTAAGGAAGCATCATTCTGACAGGCTTCTTCTTTGGATACCCTGGTAGATCAAAAGAGGATGTTAAGGGGCGTGTGTGTAACCATGCACTTGGACCATCACAGTTCTCTGTGGCTTCTGCTGCTCTGTTTGTACCCTGGCATGCATGGAGCAGGCACTGGCCCCTACCACGGGATCCTCACTTCTATCCCCCTTTACCCAGGTTTGGGTGTGAGGACACTGGCCCTCTAAGTCTCTTCAGTGTCGGCAGACACCCTGTGTTATCCTTGGAGCTTTTGCTGGATGCTACAGCCAGTGCCCCATGGGTAACAAGCAGCTTACCAGCACGTGCCCAGGCCCACATGCCCGCTGCACGTGTCCCTCCCTCACTCCCAGCCCAGATGGTCTCTGCCAGGCCAGCTCAGCTGCCTCCCTCACGCCTCAGCAGCTCCTAGGACAGGGCTGTGTGAGAACCCAGCTGGCCAGGGTGCCTCCAAGCCTGGGAGCAGCTGGGATGCTTGGGGGCACTAGGGGGTGGGTGGGGTGGTCCTTCCATGGAGACCTAGGCCCTCGTACACGTGTGGAGCAGGGCCACCTAGGTCTCGAAGGGCAAGGGGCTGGAGGAGAGGGACCCAGGACAGGAGGCAAGAGAGCCCCCACTAGCTCAGTTTTAATCCTTCACCCACCAATGTCACACCATTTCCCAGGCTGGCTACCTCAGTCCCCTCCCTAGTGCCACTACCCACTCATGCAGAGTCTTGGGCAGTCCGGGCCTTGGCGGGCTTCCTTGACCTCTTCTCATGTCTGAGCACGCTGATTGTTTCTGCCACTGGGAAGCCTCACAATGAACAGGAACAGACTCATTTGGATTAGGGCTCTGGGTGCCAGAGCATCCAAATCCCAGGAGGACTTGCAAGCACCACAGGCTGCCAGGGGCTGCCCCACCCTGACCTGTTCTCATATGTTTTGCCCTGAGGGTTTGGGCACCTCCTGTCTATAGCATCCGTCATAGGACCTGGCACATAGTGGGGACTCACCCAGCCCAAGTGTTGGCATGTAGCAAGTGCTCAACTAGTGCAGGCTTGGTGCCTTACTGGGAGGTCACCAAGCACAAGGTTTGGCACACCTTGGACACTCCCTTGGTAGAGGGCCTGTCCCTGCCTGGGCACTCACCTAACCCAAGTCTTAGCATGTGGCAAATGCTCAGCTAGTGCAGACTTGGCACACATTAGACACTCCCTTAGAAGACAGCCTGTCACCCTGTAGGCATTCGTCTAGCACACTGCCAGGCACGCAGTGGGTGCTCACCCAGCTCAGAGCTGGGCACACACTGGGTCTTTACCTGGCACAGAATTCGGCATACCTGGGGTACTCCCCTAGTGCAGGACCTAGCACACCATAGGGGCTCCTCACCTGGGGCTGACACACAATGAGTGCTGTCTCAGCATCGGACATGGCACATGGTGGGCATTCTGCTGATGCAGGTTCTCGCACACAGTAGGTGCTTCCAGCACAAGATTTGACACCCAGTAAATGCTATCCCGGCTCAGGGATTGGCACACAGTGGCCATTCTCCTTAGATAAGGCCTAGCACAGTGGAGGTGCTCTTCTAGCCAGGACAGCCTAAGCAATGACCTTCCGCTGATCCTAGATTAGCAGCTACCGGCTCCTCAGTGAAATGGACAATATCTAGATCCAGAGGAAAAGGCCCAGCCTTCTTCAGCTTCCTCTCAGGTCAGGGGGCCTGCCCTCCCTCTTCCTCCCCACTTTCTCTGTAGCCCACCTACTCAGGGAGGCCTGTAGCCCGGCCTCCCACACAGCCGCCCTGCGGCCCTCCCCCATCCCTGGCACTTCTCAGTCCCAGCTCAGCGGGACCTTCCCTCCAGAGTCACAGGGGACAACAAAGACCCTAGCCTCCTTGCCCCTCTGGAAGCAGGCCCACTCTTATTAGGAAAAGTCAGAGGCGGGAGCTGGGGGAGTCAGCCTTCCTAAGTGGGGCTGGAGCAGCTGGATCTCGCTAATGAGGTCTCATTACGGCCAGGGCCCAGCTGGGCTGCTGCCGCCTCCTGTCCCCATGGCCAGAGCCAGGGAAAGCCATCCAGCCAGGGCTGCCTGTTCTGGGCACCCGGCCCAGGCCAGGGCAGCCAGAGCCCAGAGCCCACCCTGGGTGGAAGTGAGCATTTGGGCATCATGGGTGACTGGACCTTCCTGGAGCCAGTGGCCCAGCCAGCACCTTGGCCCTCAGTCTGCGCCTGCAGGAAGTCAGGGGAGTGTGTCTGGGGACCAGGCGCATGAGGCTGGCTGAGTGAGCAGCTGAGTCAGTAGGATCTGAGGCCATCCTTAGGACACTTGCTTGAGCCAAGGCCTGTCCCCATCTCCCCCAAACCAACATGGAGATAATAATGGACCTACCTCATGGGACAGCTGGGAGGACCCAGTGAGTTAACATATGGGAAGTTAACTTGTACCATACTAGGTGAGTGCCCACAGGGTGACGGGCTGTCTCTGAAGCAAGTGTCCCACGTATGCTGAGCCAGGACAGTGCCTGGCCCACAGCAAGCACTTACTATGTGTTTTCTGTTACCATTATTACTACTGCTCACTAGGTTCAGTGATTGGCGAGTGGTATCCCCGTTTTAGAGATGCAGAAACAGAGATCCGACATGTTAAGGGACTTGCCTAGGGTTATATATGGTGAGAAACTGACAGAGCTAGGGTTTGAACCCAGGACTGTCAAACTCTAAAGCCTGTGACTTTTTATCTTATTTTAAAATTTATTTTTTATTAATTTTTTGAAACAAGGTCTCACTTTGTCACCCAGTTTGGAGTGCAGTGGTGTGATCATAGCTCACTACAGCTTCCAACGTGTGGGCTCAAGCAATCCTCCCTTCTCAGTCTCCTGAGTCGCTGGGACTATAGGTACACACCACCACACCTGGCCAGTTTTTTGTAGAGACAGGATCTCACTATGTTGTCCAGGCTGGTCATGAACTCCTGACCTCAAGTGACCCTCCTGCCTTGGCTTCCCAAAGCAATGAGATTACAGGCCTAAGCCACTGTGCCCCGCCTATCTTTTTATTTTTATTTATTTATTTATTATTATTATTATTATTGAGAGGGAGTTTTGCTCTTGTTGCCCAGGCTGGAGTGCAATGGCGCGATCTTGGCTCACTGGAACCTCCGCCTCCTGGGTTCGAGTGATTCTCCCGCCTCAGCCTCCCGAGTAGCTGGCATTACAGGCATGTGCCATCACGCCCAGCTAATTTTGTATTTTTGGTAGAGACGGGGTTGGTCTCACCATGTTGGTCAGGTTGGTCTCGAACTCCTGACCTTGTGATCTGCCCTCTTCTGCCTTCCAAAGTGCTGGGATTACAGGCGTGAGCCACTGAATCCGGCCCTGTTTTTTCATTTTTAATGTCATCCTGTGCTTGACAAAACTCCTTATATTCCCTATGGGGTTGCCACACTCACCAAACTCACAGGAAAGCTGTTCTTACACCAGAATTCATGCATGTGTCCACCTGACTGATATTTCCTGAGGTCCTACGATAAGCCAAGCCTTCTGCTGACTGACCAGTTTCCAGAGGGCCTGACACCTTCCCAGCACTGGAACACATATGCCCACCTTCTGAGCCACTGGTCTGCGGTATCTTGGGGTCAGCAGGAGACTGGCCAGTGTGTGTGGCCTCAGAGAAAGGGACTGGATGGGTCTGAGTGGCATCCCACCACAGTCATGGTGACTGCAGTCATGGTGACGACACCACTGGACCTACCAGCCCGCGCTGCACACACTCCCAGACTAGCACCTCAGCTTCTGGGCATCACGGTGCAAATCCTCACGGGTTCTTATTCCACAGCCCCCCTTTGTCTGGACTCTGGGATGACTGCCCCCTTGGCTAACACCATCTTTGTTCAGACAGGTGACAGCGTGGTTCACTAGGCCAGGGCTTTCTTGCGTGGTCAGTCACATTCTCCTAGGAAGACGCCCCATCATCCTGGCATGTTGGGAGTCCCCATCTCTGGTGGGGCGGGGGGGTCAGGTACAGCCCTAGCAGCCCTAGGCCTTGGTTTCTCCCAGCCTGCACCCCTCCGAGGAGCCTGAGCTGCTCTGGTGGTGCCCTGTGAACTGTGCCTTCCATCCTGCTGCCAGTCATCATCCAGGGCCCAACAGGGCAGACCCCATCACTCATCAGACACCCAACTACCCTACCAGGAGCCCAGCCTGTGGGCTCAGACAGTGTCTGGTCAGCTCTGTGGGGGGAGTGAGCCACCCTCTCGCCCGCTCTGCCCGACTCTGTGGTGTGTGTGTGTTTTGTTCCAGTTACTTGCTGGGAACAAGGGAAAAACAGAACAAACCCCACACACCCCACTCTCCAGCTCCGGAGCACCCGTGCTGGGCTGCATGGGGACTGGCCGGAGGGGCAGGGCCAGGGGAGGGGGTAGGCAGAGCTTAGGGAGGAGATGAGGTGAAAGTAATTGACGCTGCCCAGCCCAGCAGTGGGAGAGGCAGGGGATGCGTCAGTGTCGCCCTGGAGCTGGCAGAGGTGTGAATGAGCGGCGGAGACACGCGGGCTGCGATCGCTCGCCCCGGGATGGCCGTGGCTCATGGACCTGTGGCCCCCTCTTCCCCAGGACAGGTCAGTCACCTTCCAGGAGGTTGAGCCCCCTCTTTGGTGCCAGGCAGGCTGAGAGGCTGGGCTGCGGGTGGGGAGAGGGGCTGAGTGGTCTGTGCCAGGGAGGGGCAGGCACAGCCAGCAAGCGAGACAGACACCAGCCAAAGTGACCCAGAAAGTTGCAACTGTGCAAAGGAGTGCAGGAAGAGTTAGCTGTGTGGTGGGGGCGAGGGGGAGGAGAGTGGGGGTGTGAGGGCTCCCCCAGCCCAAGGACCTGCTGAGAATCTGCTCTGTGTATCAAAGCTGCATTGTCCTAGCTCCCGGGGAGACGGGCCGGAGGTGCCCAGGAATTGTACTAATCAATACAGCCTCATTGTCTGTGCCACGGCAGTTACTCCTATGGGGAGAGTGGGTGAGGGGGCAGGGAAACGTGGTACATGGTTTCAGTGGTGAAGGGTGGGGGAAGGGGATGGGGCAAGAGTATCAGCTGGAAAGAGAGAGACCCCACAGAACATTTTCCAGGGTCCAGGGCAAGTGCCCGCATGGGCTGGGAGCCGCTGTGTCCTCATCCCTGGACGCTGGTGACGGGTGGAGATGTCAGCGGATGGCAGCGAGGGTGAGGAGACTCAAAAGCTACCCTTCTCCCCTGTAGGACATCCCGACTTGACCTTCAGAAGACAAAAGAGGGAACGTCCTCTGAGGCGATGTGGGATGGGTCTGGGAGGAGCAGTACGCAGGGCTGCCCTCAAATCTCAGGACTGCTAGGGTCAAGAACCAAAGCCACTTCCCAGAGTGCCTGCCTGCTGCCAGTCGGTGAGGGCAGACGCTGCCCCCAGCCGCTACAGCGCAGGACGGGGCCATTGCCTCCAGTCTTCCCTGCTGGGCTTGTCTGGGGTGGGAAGCGAGGAGCTGTCCAGGGCCCACCCGGGGTCCTCCATCACTCTCCCCAGGGCCTCCTGGAGTGGAGCCCAGCATGCCTGGGGGTGCCAGTCATCTGTCTGCTGCCCACAATATTGGCAGGTCCCTTGCTGCCAGTCAGGGCTCTGCAATGGATAAGCACAAGGTGTATTCTTGTCTCTCTCACCTGCTATATGAAGGCCTGGACTCAAGGCACCTGGAGTCCTGAGAGGTGCCCAGAGATGGCTCTGAGGTTTTCCTTGAGGCAGGAGGCACTAATGGCCACTGGGGACTGCTTGGCCCGGGGGAGATGTTCCCATGTTCTGCCCCTCCAGCCCCAGCCCCAGACTCTCCCGTATCCAGGTTACTGAGGCCAGAGATCAGAGCTGCAGCTGGGTCTCTCTGCCCCTACTCAGTGCCATGTAGGTGAAGGACAGAAGATTCTGTCATTGCAGGGTAGGTGCTACCTGTGGGCCAGCCTGGGCCCCGGACTGATGGGAGAGAACAAACACCGAGGGATGCCTGGCAGGAAGGAGGTCGTGGGGTCTTCCGAGGCAGCCACAATTTACTGTAATGGCTGTTCTGTCTACATTCCCCAGTGGGGCTTAGAGAAAGTTGCCAGCGATCTGATTGGGCTCAAAGTCAGTCTGGGATGTGAGGTCTTGCCCATTCTCCTCCATGAAGTTTGTCTTGGATGGGACTTCATCCCATGAGCAAAGCCTGGGGCTGGAGAGTCCTAAACACAAAGCCTGCTGGGTTGCAGAGGGGCCCGCCCAGCCAGGGCAGCTCCAGGGTTCCTCAGTGTCCACCCAAAGCCGGAGGGGGAAGCTCACAATTCACAAAAATATTCACTGGGCACTGATCTGGGAGGCGGGAGGCTCACACCAGAGCAGAGTCACCGTCCAGGGTGGAGAGCTGGGCTCTGAGTCTGTGCAAGAGCAAAAGGCGGGAGTGCATCCTCAGACTGGCCCTGGTTCGCTCTGGGAATGGGCTTTGCCACTGCATTTCCTCTTTACCTTTTTCTCTATTTTCTAACTTTTTTGTGATAGCTTATAAAGCTTTTGTAATCAGAAAGAAAAGGGCAAACTTTTTGTTTGTTTTTTTTTTAGTAATCTGGAAAGCTAGTGGGAACTAATGGAATGTACAAGGGAAAGTCAGAAGTAGCAAAATTTCAGGTGAGGGAGAGCTATGGAATATGAGTAGCTGCTGAGGCTGTCTGGCCTGGGAATCTGGCAGATCGATTGATAGTGAGGTTATCTAGTCTATGGCCATGCCATCCTGAAAGCACCCGATCTTGTCTGATAGTGAGTTTATCTAGTCCGTCCTCTGCTTTCATAGATAGCGATGCTGAGATACTAAGACTGGAAGTGACTTGCCCAGGTCTGTACTGGAGGAGTGGGCCCTAGAGCACCAGGGCTCTTGCCTGCACTGGTATCCCACCTCGGCCAAGCCCAGGGCAGAGTGGGAGATCTGGATTCTGCCCTCGGAGCTGAGCAGCCTTAATTCCAGGGGCTCAGCCAGAGCAGTAAATCAGCCAAGCAGAGGGCTGTGTAAAGGACTTATGTAAGTGACTTTGCTCAGTGTGGCTCTCCCAGCTAGGCAGGGACGGGGCGGGAGGCTGTTAAACCAAGCAAGATCATAAGTTCTTGTGCCAGGGTGGACACTGCTGTCTCGATGACTGGTTCTAAGGGTAAGGGAACATCTGAAGGCTGTGTGTGTGTGTGTGTGTGTGTGTGTGTGTGTGTGCGCGCCAGCTCACCCCACCCCACCATAGAAGGAAAGCCTCCATTCCTTCCATGGCTGGGAGAGCTTGGGGACAGGGCAGGGTAGTCTTGTCCTGGAGACCACCTGCTGGGCCCATGACAGTGGCAAGCAGAGGCTGCTTTGTCCTGGCGGTGGCCTCTCAGAGCTGCCAGGAAGGGTGACAGGGCACGTAGGGGCTGTTTAGGGACCCTGCAGAGGAGGGGGCCAAGCCAGAGGGAACCACGCCGCTATGGTTTAATTCCCCACTGAGATGTGAGCAAGTGAGTGAGGGTGAGCAGAGGGGCGCAGATGGTGGTGACAGTAGTGGGGGGTAGGAGAAGCCTGGAGCAGAGCCCATCCATGGGGCTGAGCTGGCTCAGGCAGACAGACAGCCAGTCTGGGTCAAATCGTGAGCACAAAGGGATCTTTCCATGGGCACCTCAGCTGATGACCACTGCAGGGACAGTTCATATGAGTGACACAGCCGTCCACCCAGCAGATCAAGAAAAACTAGAAGCTTAGAATAGGAAAGATTATGCAAGAAGGGAGGAAAAAAAAAAAAAGTCATACAGTATTGAAAAAGATTTAGCTGCTCAGGAGGGAAGTCAGGGGGTGGTCCCCAGAGAAGATCTGGACGAGGAAGGGAACTAGAGCACCCAGAAAGTGCCTGGATTTTTTTTGGAGGGTCTTTCCTGCAGTTTGCTTGGAGAAAGGTAGGCTTGCTCTGTCCTCCGCTGAGAGCTCAGCCCTCCCCAGCCAAGCCACCTGAACATAGACAGCCCTGGAGTTGAAGTCAGAGGCCAAGCCTGGGCCAGGTTCCCGTGGTCGAACACCACAGTGCTGGGACCCAGGCCCAAGCAGAAGTGGGTGCTGCTTCTGCGAGGATCCTCTGCGCATAGCAGACCTTTAGTGTTGTCAGGAACTTCCTGCCAGAGCCCCATCGCCAACCCCAGTTCAGCCCCCGTCCTGGGGGCTGTGGCCTCCCTGGGTTACAGCCCGCACGGCTGAGCTGGTTAGCACACGGCTCATTAACGGAGCAGCGGCTGGCTCTTGAGGGCTCAGGCAGGCGGCTGTCTGTGGCACGTGGCTGGAAGCATCACCACCTTCCCCGTACCCTCCCATGCCAGGGAAGGAGCAGACTTCAGGGATCCAAATGTGGTCCCATTTGGTCGGGGGGTATGGGGCATCTGTCCCTCATCCTGCTGGGAACAGGAGACAGGCCTTGGTCTTCAAGCCTTGGGAACCTGGATCTCTGAAAAGGGCCTTGCCCTTCCCCTGCCCATGGGGCCATCCTGGACCATCAGTTGTTCCTTTCACAGCTCTAACTGCTGCTCTGTAACCCCATCCGTGTACTGTGCTGCTGGCACAATCAGGCATTGTGGCCCTCAGTAAACAACCCTGGGACAGAAGAAAACTGGCATTGTAGGGTCAACATATAGGAGCCCTATTTGGCTGACATTTGTTTGGGACCAGAGAAACCACCCCCAGCAGGCCTCACAGCCTCCAAAAAATGGCCCCTTGACTCTGTGATCTTGCCACACCTGCCCCAGTGAAGGCCCCAGGAAGTGGTGACGTGCTCAGGCAGGATTCTGTAGGGGCATGTCACAGAAGGCACACTCAGGCCGGGGGCCACCCTCTCCCAGGGCCAAGCATGTCTTCAAGCCTCTTCATCAGGGAGGCCTTCCTTGACCTCAGTCCTGCTTTCCCACCTTGTCCTCCTTCCATAGTCTTGTGATTTTGAGATGATCCCCTCTGTGGTCACACTGAAGCCGCATCTAAAGATGATAGGTGTGTACATTTCATTAATGGCTTGCGCCCCCACTGGACTTCCATCTTCGAGTGGGTAGGAGCTCTCTGCTGAAGTCCCACTTCCTGGCACAGTGCCTGGCACATAGCCGGTGTCAATAAATCTGCCACTGCATGAATGAATCAACGAATGAATGAAAGAAGGCTTGTTCAGCCACCAATTTATTCTGGGTGCTCCCTGAAGGAAACCCATGGTCCCTGGCACTGCGCCCCTGCCCTCTGTGGAGTGTGTGAGGGTCACATCACGCCAGGATCGATGCTGGATTGGGTGCACAGGGTGGCTGCCCACAAAGGTGTCTGTGCTGCAGTGCCCACCCATCAGGTCTTGGTGCCTTCTTTGCCCGCATTACCACCTGGCCTATCCAAGGCACTCGGGGCCCAGGGAGACCATTCGTCCCGTCTGTGTTTGTTCATCAGCATCAGGGTGTGATAGCATTTCACCTGCACCAGGCTGCCTTGCTTATTGGCCAGAGTGACTGCTGTCCTTGAATATGTCTCTTTCAAGTGGAGGGTCAATGTGACATCATTGGCATCTCTCTGAGGCTACGGGGCTCCATCTCTGATGCCGGGTCTGTCTGTTTTTCTCAGGGGAATAGCCCAGCTCTGGGAGGCTGTCTCTGGCACTAAGGTCTCTGTGTTTCTGTTGGTGACACTGAGCCCCTGTCTCCCTAGTGAGACCCCTTGGGGCCCTCGGGCTCTGGTTAATTTCCTGCTCACTGTGAGAGGGAGGTGGAAGGAGCATGGCACTTATTAAGGGACTTCTTTAACCAAGGGACTTGCAGAGCCAGTTCCAGCTTTTGGGCCTGGGGTTTCACAAGGGGCTATCCTCAGTGAGGCCCAGGCCACCAGCCCAGTCCTGCAGGCCCCACATTCTTCCCTGGGGCAAATCCCCGCATCTGCTTCTCCTGACCTTCGGCCCCCTCCCCTGCAGGTGACGCTTCTCCCTGTTCAGAGATCCTTCTTCCTGCCGCGCTTTTCCAGAGCCACTCCTTCCATTTCCCTAGCAGAGTCTGCCCTCAAAGTCTGGCATGAGGCCTACAACTCTGGTCTCCTTCCCCAACTCATGGCCCAGCACTCCCTAGCCATGGCCCAGGTCAGCTCCCCAGGGCTCCTCCCCAGTCATGGGCAGTATAGCCAGCTCCCCGGACCCTCCCACCTAGAGTCCCAGAATGCCCTCCCCAGGTCTGGCCCGGCTCAGCTGCTCCCTCATTTCCTCCCAGCCCTGCCCACTCTGTGCCCCCAGGAAGAAGCCTTCAGCTGGGGGAGGGGTCTAGCCTCCCCTCCTCCGCTGTCGCCTGCCCAGGGGCAGCGTGCTCAGCCTGGTGATGTGGTAGGCGACGGGTGGGGGGGCTGTCTGGACACAGGCCCCTTTGTGCCCAGCCTGACTTGGCTGCTTGGTATGAGGCTCAGCTGCTCCCAGGTCCTTACCCAGAGGTGCAAGGGGAGGTTTTGGAGGGGCTTAGGGGCTCCTGGCCCTAGCTCCCTCTTCAGTGTCCCGCCTCCCAGACGCTGGCAGCAGCTCCTCAGGTGGGCTGTGCACCTGGCACTGGGTGCTGTGGGGCTGGTGAGGGAAGCTCTGCTTGGCGCCCTCTGGCAGCCACTACTCTCTGCTTCCTTCCTTGCCAGGCCTGCCTGAAGCTCCTGCCAGCAGAGGGGAAGCCCGGGGAGGGGTGTTGGAGGGTCCACGGTTTCCCTGCTGGGGGAGGCCCAGAGGGTCAGGCATGGAGCACAAATGCCTTGCTGATGGTAGCTTCTCTCCTGTCCCCACAGAATGGTGCTGTGCCCAGCGAGGCCACCAAGAGGGACCAGAACCTCAAACGGGGCAACTGGGGCAACCAGATCGAGTTTGTACTGACGAGCGTGGGCTATGCCGTGGGCCTGGGCAATGTCTGGCGCTTCCCATACCTCTGCTATCGCAACGGGGGAGGTACCCAGCGGGCACAGGGCAGGGACCACCCACTTGGGTAGAGCCCACCCACTAGGGCCTGGGCCACCCTCTCCCTGGCACAGACCCACTGCAGATAAAGGCTGGCCTCCGGCCTTGGCCTCCTTTGCCCCCATCCCTGGCTTAGGCACCCTTTGCCTAAGGCAGGCCACCCCAGACCCTGGCAGTCTGTTGTTCGGGCCTGGCCCTGCCAGTTGGCCCCCTTTGAGGTGAGGAGAGGCAAGAAAGGACCTAACCCCCACTCAAGGCTCTCTGTTCTATTCCCTGGGGTTCAGCAGCCCCCCTAAATGGTTCAGGGTATTTGAGGATCTCAGCAACTTATGCTTGTGAAATCGCTTGGTTAAACCATCAAATCCCATCCAAGTATGGAGGCTCTGGGGCCTGGATTCCACTCTGAGCAGACTTCCTGAGAGCCTCTGTCAAGTTCAAAGACAGGCTGGGGGTGGTGTGCCTCAGCCCAGGCTCCTGCTCAAGCCTGGCACACTCCTCCCTGGGTCCTACCCAATCACGAAGGTTTTGCTGTTGGGTTCTGAGCAGGAAGCCCAGGGTGAGATCCCTCCAAGCCCACTCCTGAGCCAGACCTCTCCCTGCCTACCAGGCGCCTTCATGTTCCCCTACTTCATCATGCTCATCTTCTGCGGGATCCCTCTCTTCTTCATGGAGCTCTCCTTCGGCCAGTTTGCGAGCCAGGGGTGCCTGGGGGTCTGGAGGATCAGCCCCATGTTCAAAGGTGAGGCCTGGGCGGGGCCCTCGCTCACACACACACACACACACACAACGGCCTCTGAGGGCCGTGCCAACTCGCCCATCTGCACAAACACGGCTGACCTCTGTAGAGCCCTGATGCTGACCCCAAGCCCCACATCAATGGCCTAAGCCCTGGGATGCATGCTGGGACCCATGTTTACTTGGCCGCCACCCTCCCCTCCTACCACGTGTACACACAAAACTCCTTTGGCCCCCTGGCCAACTTACCCCTACCAAGACCTTGACCTGGCCTTCCTATGGCCCTCCATCTCAGCCTGCCCCTTGGGACCTTAGAGATTATTAACCTTGGGCCGGGCACAGTGGCTCATGCCTATAATCCCAGCACTTTGGGAGGCCGAGATAGGCAGATCACCTGAGGTCAGGAGTTTGAGACCAGCCTGACCAACATGGAGAAACCCCATCTTGGCCTGGCATGGTGGTGGTGGCTCATGCCTGTAATCCCAGCACTTTGGGAGCCCGAGGCGGGCGGATCACAAGGTTAGGAGATCGAGACCATACTGGCTAACACGGTGAAACCCTGTCTCTACTAAAAATACAAAAACAAAATTAGCCCTGCCTGGTGGTGGGCGCCTGCAGTCCCAGCTACTCAGGAGGCTGAGGCGGGAGAATGGCGTGAACCCGGGAGGCGGAGCTTGCAGTGAGCCGAGATCGTGCCTCTGCACTCCAGCCTGGGTGACAGAGGGAGACTTCATCTCAAAAAAAAAAAAAAAAAGGAAAAAAAAAAGAAACCCATCTCTACTAAAAATATGAAATTAGCCGGTTGTGGTGGCGCATGCCTATAATCCCAGCTACTCGGGAGGCTGAGGCAGGAGAATCACTTGATCCCAGCTACCCGGGAGGCGGAGGTTGCAGTGAGCTGAGATCGCGCCATTGCACTCCAGCCTGGGCAAGAAAATAAAAAACTCTGTCTCAAAAAAACAAAACAAAACAAAACAAACAAACAAACAAAAACACGCTGGGTTCGGTGGCTCACGCCTGTAATCCCAGCACTTTGGGAGGCCAAGGCAGGTGGATCACAAGGTCAGGAGATTGAGACCATCCTGGCTAACACAGTGAAACCCCGTCTCTACTAAAAATACAAAAAAATTAGCCCAGTGTGGTGGTGGGCGCCCGTAGTCCCAGCTACTCGGGAGGCCGAGGCAGGAGAATGGCGTGAACCCGGGAAGTGGAGCTTGCAGTGAGCCAAGATTGCGCCACTGCACTCCAGTCTGGGTGACAGAGCGTGGGCGACAGAGCAAGACTCTGTCCCCCCCCAAAAAAAAAAAAAAAGAAAAGAAAAAAAGAAATGATTAACCTTACCTCCTCCTGCTGGATGCGTGAGGCTCCTCCCCCCTGCCCCTCCCCTCCTGCAGGCGTGGGCTATGGTATGATGGTGGTGTCCACCTACATCGGTATCTACTACAACGTGGTCATCTGCATTGCCTTCTACTACTTCTTCTCGTCCATGACGCACGTGCTGCCCTGGGCTTACTGCAATAACCCCTGGAACACGCGTGACTGTGCTGGTGTGCTGGACGCCTCCAACCTCACCAATGGCTCTCGGCCAGCCACCTTGCCCAGCAACCTCTCCCACCTGCTCAACCACAGCCTCCAGAGGACCAGCCCCAGCGAGGAGTACTGGAGGTGAGGCACCCGTGGGACCTGGGGTGGCGACCCTGTCCCCACTGGGCAGCCATCTGAAGACAAAGTCGGGTGCCTGCTGCAGGTTCAGCTCCCTGCTGGGCTGGGAGAGGGTAGAGGTGAGTGAAGAGGTTTAGGAGAAGAGCCTGATGTACAGAAAGCAATGGAAAATGGAGGCTGGGCACGGTGGCTCACACCTGTAATCCCAGCAATTTGGGAGGCCGAGATGGGCAGATCACGAGGTCAGGAGATTGAGACCATCCTGGCTAACACGGTGAAACCCTGTCTCTACTAAAAATACAAACAAAGAAAAAAAATTAGCCGGGCGTGGTGGCAGGTGCGGGAGAATGGCGTGAACCCGGGAGGTAGAGCTTGCAGTGAGCTGAGATTGCTCCACTGCACTTCAGCCTGGGCAACACAGTGAGACCCCATCTCAAAAAAAAAAAAGAAAAAGAAGGAAAGCAATGGAAGATGGATGTTGAGTTGCAGGATGTTTACAGAGCAGCCGTGAGGAAGGCCGTCAGAAATCCAGCAAACCAGCCTTCAGAGGAGACTCAGGAAAGCAGGGGCAGATCCTGGGGAGAATAAGAGTGTGGGTAAAGACCCTGTCCCCGATGAGCAGAGGCTGGCCCCAAGGCTGGAGAGAGCCTGCTCTGATGAGAGTAACAGGTGTGGGGAGAATGCATGGGCTTCAGGTGGCCTAGGAAGTGGTACTGCTTTCATAAAGAACTTGCCAGGATTAGGCTTAGACTTGATGATGCAGAACAAAAGACGCCATGGAAGGTCTCTGAGCCGGGGGTGCTGTGATCAAGACACCGTGGCACATTTTGTTTAGAGGCGATGAAGAGACCAGAGTCTCAGGCCATCCTGCTGTGCCCTCCATCCACCAGTTGGAAATTCCCCGTGTCTTGCTGGGGAACCCCTGGGCATAGAGCTTTGGGGGCATGCTGGCAGGCCTCCACCACTCATTCCACAACATTCACGCCTCTGCTCTGCCAGGCCCTGTGTCCCCATGGTGGGTATGAACGGCCCAGAGCCCCTGTCCTGAGGAGCTCACAGGGTAGTGGGGAGACAGATCACTAATCACAGTAGGGCAGGTGCCTCGGTCCAGGTGTGTGCAGGGGTGTCATGGGGACACAAAGGGGTAGTGCTTGGTGCTAAGGGGATGGGGCAAGACCAGGCAGTCAGGGCTTCCCAGAGAAGGGAGAGAGGAAAATAGAGAGATTGGGAGCCGCATGAGCAGGTGAGCAGAGGGGCAGGAGGCAAACTGGAGCTGGAGTTGGAAGCAGGTGGGACGCTGAGTGATAAGACAGAAGAGGCCAGCAGGCATCATATAACACAGGGCCTCCCATGCCAGGCTAAGGGTTTGAGGCTTTCTCCACATGTAATGGAAAGCCATGACTGAAATGCACGAGGGTCCGAGGATACCGCAAGTCACCACAGGTCCTCTAAGCCCAGGCCCGAGTGCTCTGACCCTGAAGGACCCAGTTTCCCTGTGCCAACCTCTGTGCTGGGCTGTAGACACTCAAAGACAGGTAAGATGGGGCCACTATTCTCAAGGACCCAGAGCATAGCGAACACAGCTGCTGTCCCCCAGAGACGCATGGGCAGACTCAGGCACTCAGTCACCAGACAGGTCATTTCTCTTTTATTTTTAAATTTTTAACATCCTAACATTTATTTTCTTTTTTAAAAACACCTGGAACTGAATGGACAGTTTTTTTGTTTTTTGTTTTTTTTTTTGAGACAGAGTCTCACTCTGTTGGCCAGGCTAGAGTGCAGTGGCGCGATCCCAGCTCATTGTAACCTCCGCCTCCCAGGTTTAAGCAATTCTCCTGCCTCAGCCTCCCTAGTAGCTGGGATTACAAGCACCTGCCACGATGCCTGGCTTGTTTTTGTGTTTCTAGTAGAGACAGGGTTTCGACATGTTGGCCGGGCTAGTCTCGAACTCCTGACCTCAGGTGATCCACCCACCCTGGCCTCCCAAAGTGCTGGGGTTACAGGCGTGAGCCACCATGCCCAGCTGATTTATTGAGCACCTACTAGGTACTGGGTACTGTTCTCAGAGGGGAGAGAGGGTGGGGAGGAACACACTGTCCTCACAGAGCTGCTGTCTGATGGGAGAACAAGCAGATACTGCCGAGTGAGGCATTTTACTACATTTGAGGCATGATGTGGACTGGGCAACTTGATCTAGTCTGGGGTGATGAACCTTCCTGGAAGCTCCCAGAAACACAAAGCCTTGTGCACCCCCACCCCCGGATGCTCCAGTGGTGGTTGTCCCAGGGACCGACTCAGAGATTCCCAGCCCTGGGCCCACCCAGGGCAAAGCTCTAGAGATTTTATCCAGTAAAATCAGAGGAGAAGAGCCTTCAAAGAAATCTGGCTGGTGGAGCCGCTGCACTCTACTCCCCAGTGCGGGCTGGAGCCAGGCCTGCCTAACTGGCCACTGTCCCATGCAGGACACCTTCTCAGCAGCATGGCTCCCTGCTGCCCTCTCCTGGAGAGTCAGGGAAATGGCCCTGAAGAGAGCAACCCAGGCTGGCTTCAGCAAGGGAAGAAAGGAAGCACCCTTATTGTTGATCACCTACTACGTACCAGGCATATTATCTAAGTAGATATTAGTATTCATATTTTCAGATTCAGAGACTGCCGTTTAGAGGTTAAGGAGCTAGGCAGCAGTTGCTGTCAGAATCTGCGTGTGTTGCGCCCCTCTGGTGCTGCTGTTGCTGGGTGTGCCGCGGTGAATTAGGTGGGGGTGGCTGTGCAGGTGTTTAGTCCACACTTTCCAACAACCCTTTGGACAGCTGCGCCATCTCACTGGAGTGCCACAAAAACCCTGTTAGGTAGCTTGTGTAGGGATTTTTTAAATCACCATTTTACAAATGAGGGAAGCCAATCAAAAGTCAGATGAAGAGACTCTAAGTGAGAGAAGCTCAAAGGGTAGATTTCTGAGCCCATGTCTGCCTCTCACCCACTCAACCTTGTCACTCAGAGTCCTCCCCTCCCTCGCCACCCTCTTCACAATCTTGCCTTCCAGTCCTCTGTGCTGGTCTGACACTTGCTACTGGGCCCTAAACATATGACAAGGCCTTCTCACCTCTGCCGTCCCTGTGGGGCCCAGATCCTGTCCCCCAGGGTCTTCATGGCAGCTCTGGAGTCACACAGACCCCTCTCAAATCCTGGCTGTGCCACTTATTAGCTGTGGCCTTGGGAGGTCGTTCACAGTCATTTGTCCATGAAATTGGGTGGTCATGATACCTATCTGGTTTTAAAGACAAAATGAGATAATGCAACCTAAATCACTAAGACTGCTGATAGGAGCTCAGGCAGCACAACCATAGCCCCTGTGGGACCTGTTCCTGAGGGTCCTGTTCTCAAGGCGCTTACCACCTGGCTGGGAAAACAAGATATGTCATGTGGAGACGTTTTTAAAGCAATGCAGAATAATTCTGGAGATGTCATGTGTCAAGAGGCCACTTGTAAATATGTTGGGTTCCAAATGTCCTTAGGCTATTTGATCTCAAAAGCATGTGCTCCAAAACCAAAACCAAACAAAAAACAGAATATGGTGCCATAAAAATAAAGCTAGAATTCATCATTTGGTTTCCAGGCTAGCCTTTTAAACTCTTCAGTCCCTAACATTGTAATGCTGTATACTTGCAGTCAAAGATAATATAGGCCAGGTGCGGTGGCTCACGCCTGTAATCCCAGCACTTTGGGAGGCTGAGGCACCACGGCCTCCCAAAGTGCTGGGATTACAGGTGTGAGCCACCACACCCGGCCAGGGTGCAATCTTTACTGAGCATTCCACTGCCCACTGCCACCCTCAGTTTATCAGAGATAGAGCTAATTGGTGCACGTAAAATGCTCACTGGTGGCTTCCTGGAGGACCCACCTGACCTCAGGTGATCTGCCCGCCTCGACCTCCACAGAGCGCAGGGATTACAGGCACAAGCCACCACACCTGGCCAGGATCCAGTCTTTACTGAGCATTCCACTGCCTCCCTCAGTTTATCAGAGATAGAGCTGATTGGTGCAGGTGAGATGCTCACTGGTGGCTTCCTGGAGGAGGTGACACCTGACAGGATGAGGAAAAGGCATTCCTGAAGGGAGAAACATGCAAACAAGGACCTGGGCTGAGCCCAACGGGAGACTGGGAAGACCACCCAAGCCTGGGGTGTGGCCTCCAGGAGCCCTTGAAGGGCCTGGGAAAGGCTGCAGAGCAGTGGACTGTGTCGGGCTCCCCAAGGGCTGCAGCAGGTGGAGGGGGATGGGCCGGCCAGGGCTGGGCCCCTGAAGTAGCTCCCGTGTCACACAAGGTGGCTGCCGGGACCTCATGACAAAGGAGGGTATGGCCCAGGTGGGCCCTGAGCCTTGGGAATTTGTTGCTGGGCAGCGGGGGCTGGTCATCCGTAACAGAGTCTCCCCTTCCCAGGCTGTACGTGCTGAAGCTGTCAGACGACATCGGGAACTTTGGGGAGGTGCGGCTGCCCCTCCTTGGCTGCCTCGGTGTCTCCTGGGTGGTCGTCTTCCTCTGCCTCATCCGAGGGGTCAAGTCTTCAGGGAAAGCAAGTACCCCTCCCCCAGCAGGGTCTGTGCCCACCCAGAAAGATCCTGACCCCTACCTGGGTCATGTGTGTGTTGCAGGGAGGGGATGCTGAAGGGACTGCAGAGCGGGAGAGGGACTGGGGGCTGGTGGTGATTAGGGAGCCAGGGTGGTGGTGCCCAGGGGAGGGGAGAGCCCGGAAGAGTCCATGGAGCCCTCTTGTGCCAGGTGGTGTACTTCACAGCCACGTTCCCCTACGTGGTGCTGACCATTCTGTTTGTCCGCGGAGTGACCCTGGAGGGAGCCTTCACTGGCATCATGTACTACCTAACCCCACAGTGGGACAAGATCCTGGAGGCCAAGGTGAGAAGTGAAGGAAACCGGAAACCAGAAGCGGGTTGGGGAAGGGCCGGGGAGGTGCCTGCCTCTGCCCACAGCTCCTCACCCGCCGGCCCCTCCCTGCAGGTGTGGGGTGATGCCGCCTCCCAGATCTTCTACTCACTGGGCTGCGCGTGGGGAGGCCTCATCACCATGGCTTCCTACAACAAGTTCCACAATAACTGTTACCGGTGAGTGCTCCCTGCCGGGCTGAGGCTGCCCCCTCCCTGCCCTCTCTGCAGCCTGATCCCAGCTCCAGTGCAGCCGTGGGCCCACCAGGCCTCCTTTCCCCTCCTGATCTTGAGGTTCTGGGAATACTGGTTCTGGATAAAGTTGTTGGAGAATGGGGAGAGAGGCTTAGGCAAAAGAGAGAAGAGAGATGGGGACAGTGATGTCCCAGGGGTCTGTGAGGACTCAGGCAGCTCAGGCTCACTTAAAAATGCCCAGAACAGACCAGAAAAGGAGTTGGGGGCCAGGCTCAGTGCTTCATGCCATAATCCCAGCACTTTGAGAGGCCAAGGCGGGAGGATCACTTGAGCCCAGGAATTCAAGACAGGTCTGGGCAACATAGTGAGACCCCATCTTTCTTTATAAAACATAAAAGAAAATTAGCTGGGCGTGGTGGCACACGCCTGTAGTCCCAGCTACTTAGGAGGCTGAGGTGGGAGGATTGCTTGAGACCAAGAGGTCAAGGCTACAGTGACCTGTGATAGCACCATTGCATTCCAGCCTGGGCAACAGAGTGAGACCCTGTCTCCCACCCCCCAAAAAATAGTTGGGGGCGCCCTTGTTCCTAGAACTTTCCCTGTCTCCATGTCTCCCTTGGCCCAAATTGGGGAGAGGGAAGCTGAACTCTCTTTTCCTCCCCATCAGGGACAGCGTCATCATCAGCATCACCAACTGTGCCACCAGCGTCTATGCGGGCTTCGTCATCTTCTCCATCCTCGGCTTCATGGCCAGTCACCTGGGCGTGGATGTGTCCCGCGTGGCAGACCACGGCCCCGGCCTGGCCTTTGTGGCTTACCCTGAGGCCCTCACACTACTTCCCATCTCCCCGCTGTGGTCTCTGCTCTTCTTCTTCATGCTCATCCTGCTGGGGCTGGGCACTCAGGTATGAGGTGCAGGACGTGGACCGGAGGCTTGGGGAAGGGAGGGGACAGGAACAAGGGGCAGGTCCCCCATCTGACAGCCACATCCTGCAGTTCTGCCTCCTGGAGACGCTGGTCACAGCCATTGTGGATGAGGTGGGGAATGAGTGGATCCTGCAGAAAAAGACCTATGTGACCTTGGGTGTGGCTGTGGCTGGCTTCCTGCTGGGCATCCCCCTCACCAGCCAGGTAAGAGCTGAGTAAGGGAAGGGCTGGCTCAGAGTTGCCAGGACATGCAGGGAAGGGTGGGGGAGCCCGGGCTGCAGGCGCCTCCCACAGCTGCCCACTGTTCCCCAGGCAGGCATCTACTGGCTGCTGCTGATGGACAACTATGCAGCCAGCTTCTCTTTGGTGGTCATCTCCTGCATCATGTGTGTGGCCATCATGTACATCTACGGTGAGCACTTGAGCCTCCGGCCTCCCGTGACCTGGCCCCTGGCCCGCCCACTCTGTCCTGTGGACCTGCTGACCCCTCCTCTCTCCAGGGCACCGGAACTACTTCCAGGACATCCAGATGATGCTGGGCTTCCCACCGCCCCTCTTCTTTCAGATCTGCTGGCGCTTCGTCTCTCCCGCCATCATCTTCGTGAGTTCCCTGGCCGGCCCCTCCCTTCCCTTGCTGCCCCTTGGCCATGTGTCCATCTCTTGGGACCCAGCGGAGGGAGAGCAGGAGCTCCCGCACCTGGCCAGAGCTCCATACCCATGACTCTGGCCTTTGGGAGGCTAAGGGAGGTTGGAGAGAGTCAGAGAGGCGTGTGGTGACTCAGAGCTGCCCAGGCCCTGGCCTCAGGTTAGGAGAGGAGTGCCACAGCCTGTATTTGACTGCAGACATTGCTCAGGCATTCCTGCCTGGCACCCCAGGGGACTCAGGAGTCAATACGGATAGCGTGTCAGCCTCTGCCTGCTGGCCTCATCTCCCATCCCTCTAGGGAGGGTGTTCCAGGGCCCTGGCTATGTGGTGGGAACCAGTGTTCCAGCAGCAGCCCAAGGCTGGTAGACCAGGCTGTGAAATCAGATGTCAGCTCTGCATGGGGGCAATTTGCAAGCCTTCCAGGCAGTGAGGTGGGCTGGCTTGGGTGGGGGGTGTTCCAGGTTTTATGAATATTCAACAGCTGAGAAATTCCCGTCAGGGAGCTGAATTGGTGGAAGGAATCCACCATGGCAAGGAAGCAGGCACTTTCCACACACCGTTCCCATGTAACCCGTGATGGAGCTCTCCAAGGTGTCACTGTTATCCCCACCTTACAGATGAGGAAACTGAAGCACGGGGATAAGTAATTGGCCCATAGTCACACAGCTAATAAGAGGCAGAGCCACAATTCAAATCAGGTAGTCCAATTCCAAGCCCGGGCCAGCGCCACACTAGAAGCACCTCTGCAGGAGGGAGGAATGGTCCAGGGGCTAAAACCGTATGACTTAGCTCCCTCCTGTTTGGGGTGAGATTCGGGGAAAGCAGGTATTAACAGTGTAATGGTCACTCCACAGAGGACAGGCAGGGCCATCTCTGAGTGACAGTGAGAGGGCTGGCCCAGTGGCCCGGGCAGTGTTCAGAGCCACACTCTTGTCATGTTTAATGCCTCAGTGGCACAGGGGGCTCAGCACCGGACTTTCCCTGTGGCTCATGTTTCTGAATAAAGGCCTGTGGAGGGCTGAGGTCTCTACCCCATAGGGTGTGGGATGTTCCCGAGCCTGGCACAGGCTCTCCCTCTGGCCACTGGCCCAGCTTTGAAACAGGAGGAGCGGAAGTGTTGGTGGTGGGAGGCAGGGGAGGGCAGGTACCACCACCCCAGAGTACCATGCCTTCTGGGGCAGTGGCCCAAGGGGAGCTCAGCCTCTGTGGCTCGGAGGGTCTCCCAGCATTCAGACTAGATTGATGTCCTGGGGAGAGACCAGGGGGCACCTGCCAAGGGCAGTGGGGAGGAAGGAGACGAGCACAAAAAGGATCTGTAGGGGCGCCCTTGGCTGGGATCTGGTGTCTCCACAAGATTGAGGCACAGTGGGCGGGGCCCTTCCTGTGCCCAGGAAGCCAGGCCGGAGTTACCTTTAGGGGAGCCTAGAGTCCTCTCCTTGGGGTAACTCCAGCCTGGCTTTCTGGGCTGTTGTGTTTTCTCTGGGGGCTTTCTTTTTTCATATTTCTGAAAAGCTCTTTTTGACAAACTCCACCCTTCTGTCAGCTCAAATGAGGGATTTGTCCACACGTAGGTCAGGATCTGTTCCATTTAGGAAACCTGTTATAAGCTCCCATCGTGTGCAGCATCCCTGGAGGGTCCTCCAGTTTGGATGGGGGTCTTGCATTCTAGAATATGGCCCTGTGCTTCAGGATGGGGCTGGAACCTCAGGAGGAGGATGCTGGGACACCCTCCCACCCAGGCCCTCCGGGTGACCCGCCAGCCACTGCCTGTGTTTCTGCCTCCTTTCACTCCTTTTGTTGCTGCAGCCACAAGTCTTATTTCCAGTCTCACTCATCTCTTTCCAAGGAGGCTCCCTAGAGCACCACAGCCCGACACTCACCATTTCAGCCCGTGGAGCTTCCTCAGGCTGAATGTCCCTGTCCCCACGGCCGTAGACAGGCAGGGCTTTGCCCTACCCTCTTTCCATCCTCCTCTGCCTCTCTGTACCAATCAGTTCAAATCAACACAAGAGACTGTGGCAGGCACTGTACGGGGCACTGCACCCCCAGAGTTGATGCAATCCCAGGAGCTCCCAGGTCTATGGGAATATTAAACCAAGCCACTCTAAGGGAAGCAGGTGGAAAACGCCGAGGGGAGGCCCTGCAGGAGGAAATGGGGGAAATCTGGGATGGCTTCTTGAAGGAGAGGGCACTGGCATAGGGTTTGACAGAGGAAGATGCAGAGGATGATTCCCCAGAATAAATGAAGAGAGGATGGGAAACACTGGGTGTGACTGAAACACCGAGGGCGGGGTCGTGTGGCAGGCAAGACAATTTGAGGTCGCACTGCCAGGTGACAGCCTAAAGGTCCAGGATGTGGCCTTACTTCAGTCGGCCAGGGGAAGCCATAGCGAGTTTTTGAGCAGAACTGATTGAATTCCAAAGGCAGCAGCAGCTCGACTGTGCTCGGCCAGTTCAGGACCGCGGCAAAGACAGATTTCCCTCCGCAGAGCCTTCCCACCCATGGTGCCCCGGTCCCCTGGCCCTGCCTGTTTCTTCCACAGCCCAGATGTTGACAGCTGTCCCTGTTCTGCCCCAAATGCCCCTTTCTAGTTTGGGAAGCCAGAGAGGAAAGGGTGCTGGTAGAGGGATGGCCTGGGTCTGGGCTCTGGGCCGGCCTCACGCCCACTCCCACACCTGCCCCGTGCAGTTTATTCTAGTTTTCACTGTGATCCAGTACCAGCCGATCACCTACAACCACTACCAGTACCCAGGCTGGGCCGTGGCCATTGGCTTCCTCATGGCTCTGTCCTCCGTCCTCTGCATCCCCCTCTACGCCATGTTCCGGCTCTGCCGCACAGACGGGGACACCCTCCTGCAGGTGAGGGCGGGGGAAGGCTGGGTAGCCAGGTGAAATGGGAGGGGCCGGCTGGAAGGGGCTTAAGGGCTCCCCCCTGACGTGCCCTGCCCCTGTGCCCCATGCCTACCTCATGTAGCGTTTGAAAAATGCCACAAAGCCAAGCAGAGACTGGGGCCCTGCCCTCCTGGAGCACCGGACTGGGCGCTACGCCCCCACCATAATCCCCTCTCCTGATGACGGCTTCGAGGTCCAGCCACTGCACCCGGACAAGGCCCAGATCCCCATTGTGGGCAGTAATGGCTCCAGCCGCCTCCAGGACTCCCGGATATGAGCACAGCTGCCAGGGGAGTGGCCCCACCCCCATCCCGTGCTCCCAACACAGAGACTGGTGAGGCAGAGGCCAGGTGTCTCGCCTGCCCCCTGCCACGCCCTGGCCAGGACAGCTGCTGTCATCTTGGTCACTACTGCTAGTGCAGTCATTCGTGCTCGTGCCCCCAGTGTTTACACGTCCTTTGGATGCCAAGATGGCAGCTGTGGGGAGGGGTGGGAGTGGAGGGTGGCTGGGAGGTCCAAAGCACTTTGGAGGGGTCTCGGGCCAGGTCCCCAGTGGTCTGGGCGGCTTTACGTGGCCTCTGATACCCTTATACCCTGCCCTGAGCTGAGGCTCTGGGTGGGCCTCCAGCCCCATGGCTAGTGCTCCTGCCCTCAGAGCAGACCCCAGCCTCTGCCAGACACATTTGGCTCTTCCTCCCTAGGGCAGGATGAGGGGCTGGGGGCTGTGCAGTGTTACTTGTCAGGCTGTGCTGCCCAGCCCTGTTTATCTGTGTAATTATTTTTGTAAACGTTGTATTCTCTGTGGTTGCCACCTCCGCACCCCCAGCCTCGGGTCCAGTCTGTCTTCCAGGCCTGCTTGCACCTCACTGGGCTGCTCCGGGGTCTCTGCCCCTCGTTCCAGCCCTGGCTGTCAGGCCCAGCCAGCAGAGGACCGTGACCCAGCAGCCTGCCCAAAGCATTTGTTTCTGGGGGATGGGGTAGGGGCTGCTCCACAGGAGGTTTGAGCCCAGCGTCCCGGGGAAGGGGACCCTGCACGACACCCCCTTGCCCTTCCTCCATCAGGCTAAAGGCCCAGTCTTCCCAAATGTGCTGCCCTTGTTCATGTGCCAAATGGTCCCAGCCCACATGCCCCTCCCCTCTCCGGAGCGGGAGCCCCCAAGTGTCTGAATCCCTGAAGTGTCCATTTGTCCGTCCTCTGTGCAGTGACAGCCCCGGCCAAGCCACCTCTAATCCTCTGTAGCAATAACGGTGCGCCGCCCATCCCTGCCCGTCGTGCACCACTAAGATTTTAAAGTCCATAGATTTTAATGAAATTTCTATTCCTGTCTCTGAGCGGCTGCTGTGCTTTGTCTGGGTCCCCCAGGGGACAAGAGTCAGGCTGGAATGGGACCTCTGTCTGCCAGGCCTTTGTGAAGGCCTGGGAAGAGAAAGGCCAAAGGCTTTGATGATTGGGACCGATGCCCGGCCACTCAGCTCCAGACACCAGGGATCTGGCAAGGGGGTGGGGCAAAGGCCAGACAGACCAACAGCCTTGGGGTCCTGGCGAGAGCTCATCCAAGACCGATCTGAAGCTGGCTGGGCCAAAGCAGCTCAGGCAGCAGTGGCAGACGGGTGCATCCTGGCAGAAGCCAGAGCCTACTCGGTGACCAGCCCTTCAGGCTGGGGCCTGGGATGCTGCACTGGACATGGGCGTGGAAGCTGACCCTTCCCTGGGGCTGTACTGAAGCTGCCGTCCCCAGCGGCGGGTAGCGGCCTGGCCTCGAGGTCGAAGGCAAGGCTCCAGAGGAGGTGCAGGCAGGCAGCACTGGAGAGGTGCAACCCCACAGAGAGGAAGCAGGGGTCTGAGGCCCTGCGTGGAGGACCCCAAGGGCCACTGCCTGGACAGAAAGGAGTAAGTGTGGGGGGTGGTGGTCTGATCCTTCAGTCCACCCTGCCCTGTGTCTACTGTTGTGGTTTACCTGTGGTTGGGAGAGACACAAGAAGGCCCCACAGATGCCTGCAGCTCCTGCTCCATGGCCTTCTTCTGTTCCTTTAGCTCTGAAGGAGAGATTCGGCTGAGCCAGTGCCCAGCTCTTCTAGGGTGTGTACAAGTGCAGGGTGGGAGCAGGAGGCTGGGTGTTCTGGGCCCTGATCTGTGTCCTCACCTGCCAGGGTGGGCTCCAGGGCTGCCTCCGAGGGGTGGCAAGGCCTCATATACTCCTCTTCCAGGCAGCGCTGCAGGGAGAGGCAGGGAGAGCTGTCAGTGCCCAGACTCAAGGTAGGGGTGGGGCAAGGCAGGATACAGAGGCCTAGATCCCTAGGGCATGCCCATGTAGCCCCTTCAGCCCATCCACCATGAGGGCAGTCATGTTCCCCAGGGAATACTAGCCTTGCAGAAGAGCTGAGTTTGGCAAGATAATGGTGGGGCCTGTACCCAGACCCAGGTAAAGGAAGGAGGCAAAAGACCTAAAACGGTTGGCCCTGGCCTTAAGGGCTCAATTAGAATCCTGGGCCTCTAGGATTTTGCAGGTGCACACAAGCATGTATCCCTGAGAAACGGATGCAGGACTCACACAACCTGTACACGCACCTATGCATGCACACAGGTACATGGGCCTCACCCAGGTGAGAAGCATGAGTGTCTATGCTCAGCAGTGAGGCTTGGGGGAGAGCGCAGGGCTGTGGCTCACCTGCAGGATGGGGATCTCCCTCTCCAAGGTGTGACACTCCTCCTCCAGAAGGCCCCTGGGACATGAGGGAGCAGCAGCCAGAACCCAAGACATAGGACCAGGGCTCAGCTGAGTCCACCACATGGCCCCAACCTCCAGCCTCAGCAGGAGCCCCACCCAACCTGTCCTTCCTCAGCCCACACTGCCCTCTGCTTCTTGGTGGGCTGCCCCAGCATAGACTTCTGGCCCCCACAAGGCTCTTTCTGGGCAGGAAGTGTCTTCCCCTCACCTACCTCACCCTGGCAGGCATCCTTCTCTCTCACGCACTTCTGCACTGTGATTCTACTTGCCTCCATCTTCCCTCACATCACAGCCCTTCCTCTGCTTAAAATCCTCTGTGGCTACCCCCAGAGTCAAGATATTTATATTTATTTTTAAAATAGGGTCTTGCTCTGCCACCCATCATGACTCACTGTAGCCTTGCCTTCCAGGGCTCAATCAATCCCCTCTCACCTCAGCCTCCCAAGTAGCTGGTACAGGCGTGCACCACCATGCCCAGCTAATTTTTGTATGTTTTGATAGAGATGGGGTTTTGCCATGTTGCCCAAGCTGGTTTCGAACTCCTGGGCCCAAATGATCCTCTTGCCTCAGCCTCCCAAATTGCTGAGATTATAGGCAGGCTCGGCCATGGCATCTGTACTTGGCTGCTTCCTGAAAGCAACCTCACTAGCTCTACAGCAGCCAGCTCTTCCCACCTCTCAGCCTGACACACATGGGTCTCCCCACCCAGTATGTTACCTTCCTCCTCTCTCACAATCCCAGCACGCCAAGATCCATCCCTGTCTCCACCCCTGCCTACACACATGCAGGTGCCCCTGGGCCTCACCTCAGATGTCTGGCCACCTGGTCAATGTTGGACACGTTCAGTTGGTCCTTGATGATGCTGAGATCTCTGTGACCACTGCTGGCAATTAAGTCACTATTACTCTCCCCATGTTGCTCACCCCAGGCCTTCAGGACCCAAACATCACTTCTCCTAGACAACTGTCTTTCTTTTCTCACAAAAACAATATAATATAGTGCAAAGAGTAAGAGTTTGGGAGCCTAGTTTTGCAAATGAGCTCTGCCACCCTTCATTGTGTGTGACTTCAGACAAAGCACTTATCCCTTCTGAGCTTTAGTTTCTTTTTTTTTTTTTTTTTTTTTTTTTTTGAGACGGAGTCTGGCTCTGTTGCCCGGGCTGGAGTGCAGTGGCCGGATCTCAGCTCACTGCAAGCTCCGCCCCCCGGGTTTACGCCATTCTCCTGTCTCAGCCTCCCGAGTAGCTGGGACTACAGGCGCCCGCCGCCTCGCCCGGCTAGTTTTTTGTATTTTTTAGTAGAGACGGGGTTTCACCGTGTTCGCCAGGATGGTCTCGATCTCCTGACCTCGTGATCCGCCCGTCTCGGCCTCCCAAAGTGCTGGGATTACAGGCTTGAGCCACCGCGCCCGGCCTAGTTTCTTTTCTTTTTGTTTTTTTGTTTTTTTGAGATAAAATTGTGCTCTGTTGCTCAGGCTGGAGTGCAGTAGCACCATCTTGGCTCACTGCAGCCTTGACATCCCAGGCTCAAGTGCTCTTCCCACATCAGCCTCCTGAGTAGCTGGGACTATAGGTGTGCACCACCACACCTGTTCAATTTTTTGCACAAACGGGGTCTCACTATGTTGCCCAGGCTTCTTTTTTTTTTTTAGAGACAGGGTCTTTGTCACCCAGGTTGGAGTGCACAGGTGCAATCATAGCTCACTGAAGCCCCAAATTCCTGAGCTCAAGCAATTATCCCACCTCAGCCTCCCAAGTAGCTGGGAATCCAGGCATGTGCCACCACGCCTAATTTTTTTTTTCACTTTTTGTAAAGATGGGGTCTCCCTGTGTTGCCCAGGCTGATCTCAAACTCCTGGCCTCAAGCCATCCTCCTGCCTCAGCCTCCCAAAGTGCTGGGATTACAGGCATGAGCCACTATGCCCGGCCTTTAATTTCTTCTTGTGCAAAGTGCAGACTTGGCCCACCTCAGGCTGTGTGAGGATTAGAAAAAGAAGTTGCTGCCATTCACTTATGAATGTTTTATCTCATTCAGTCCCAGCTGTAAATACCATTTGTAGCCATCCTCTTCAGCTCTCCCTGCCTCCCTAACCCAGCCCTCACTCCTGTTCTCTAGGCCAGAGGAGCAATCGCCTGCTGGACTTTCTTCCCTTTTCCTACAAAGCTCTTCTCTCTTTCATCTCCCTGAAAACTGCGCCTCATACGACAACACGCAGATCAAACCACTTTCTCCAGGAAGCTTTGCCTGTCCCCAGGCTAGGCAGGTGTTTCCTCTGGGTTTCGACAGCCCTCATGTGCTGATCTCTACCACAAGTGGTGGTGGAAGTGCCCAGCCCGTGACTGGAACCTCCTGCATGGAGCCAGGTGCAACCCACCAAGTTGGCTAGGGCCCTCTGCCAAGCAGGGACAGATCCCTTTCTCCTACCATCACCTTACCTGGGCCTACCACCTCTCATCTGGAATATCTCCTGTTCTGGCAAATCACACCTGGGCTCCTCCAAGGCAAAGTGCAGGACCCTGGGGCTATACTGGACCCAAGCTTGGGCCTGGTCCCTGCAGAAGGTGTACAGGAAGGAAGATGAGAGGCTCCTTTCTGGAAACCACAGAAAAGGCAACCCTGGCTCTTTGTTAGGGGCAGGGCTAGCCCACCTGGTATCTGGGGAAAGGACCCAGGCCTGAGGCTCCCACCTGCCCTCACAGATGGCTTTGTGGTGGAGACCCTGGAGCAACTGCCGGAGTTCCTGGCGCAAGAGGTCCTTTAGGAGAGGCGGTGGTGCCAGAAGAGAAGAGGGGTCAGAGATGGGGCGGGAGCTGGGGGCTTGAGAGGATCGAGCCTCTTGGAGCAGTGCCCGTAACATCGCCACCTGCAAGGAGAGCTGGGATACCTTGCGACTGGGGAGGGGAGTGACCGGAATGGTGGGGGCTGGGGGAGAGGACAGAGTCAAAGGGGAGAGGGCCAGGACAGTGAGACCCAATAGGATCTCGGGAGTTCCCCGGCAGGGCCAGGGACCCGCAGGAGGTGGGAAATCACACCCAGGGGCGTGGCCCACCTTCCCTCTCCCCACCTCCGCCCGCAGCTCCAGGCTCAGGTCCACCGCCGCCTCCCCCAGAATCCTCTTCACTTCGGGTCGCTCCCGGAGCGGAATGTGCTCCTCCACCAGCTCCCACAGCGAGGGAGAGTGCCGAAGCATGACCCACCCGCGCCGCCGTCCCCAGCTCGGACCTACAAGCCGCAGGTCAGAGTGCGGGAGGTACCGCGGGCCCGCCGGCAACGCTCACCAAGCCCCGCCCCTCTATGAGGACCGCCCTCTCCCAAGCCCCACCCATGCTCTGCCGCCGGTCCCCTCAGCTGGGATTGCCCCGTCCAGAACCGCCATTCCTTGGCGCGCTCTTCTGCCAGGCTTTTGGCCAACTCGTATGCCGCGGGCCCAGAAGCCAGGCAGTGGGAACCAGCGCCCTAGCCCCACCTCTTCCGCGTGGCCATCACCCGGGAAACCGCGCCGCGACTCTAGGCCCCGCCCCCTCCCGTGTGTGGTCCGGCGGCAGCGCCTGCAGGCTGGGAGTTCAGACTTAGTGCTCCACCGAGCCCTGACCCCAAGCACTTTGGGCTCGGCCGTGGGCACCTTTAGGCCTCAGGGAACGTGTTAAGACCTGAGAAATCTGGGTCCACGGGTTTATTACTTCGTCGCCTCCACTGGCCCGGAAGCAGTGCAAGGACAAACTTCCCCTTAAGGCCAATGGAAGCCTAGGGAGTGGCAGCGTTCCGAGAACCAGGATGGCCCGCATCAGGTTTACTTGTTAGGCCAAGTGCCCTTCCACCACAACACACTCAGGGTAACCATGTTCAGGGACCCGACCCCCACCCCCAGACAAGGGAGCTGCTCCATTCACGTTTTTTACTAAAGCACCCACACAAGTTTCTGTGCAATGTACAAACACGAGCCGGCCCTGGGGCTCCTGCCTCCTCTCTCAGACAGGGAGGCGGGAACCAGACTTACTGATCCAAACCCCACCTGCCTCCCATGCAAAGGCCAACCCCAAGATCCCAGGCAGCGACACAGCATCCCCTCTGGTCCCCTCCTGGGGCAGCTCCTCAGCAGGGGGCGCACCAAAGCTTGCCCCCTACAATGTTGAATGAAAAAGGTTTCCCCTCCCCTGGGAGCAAGGGGGTTCCCAAGAGCTGAGAATTCCCCCTGGAAGAGACACTGCCCCCTAGACATACCTCCCACCCTTCCAGGCCCTAGGGGACTCAAGGGGGGAAACTGAGGCACAGAGAGGTGGAGTGACCTAGCCCAGGCCACTCCGCGAGGCAGTGCAGGGGCTGACCCGACCCTGACAGTGACTGGGGCTGGGCTAGGGGGAGGGGGTCAGGAAGGAGGGTTGACTCCAAAGAGGGCCACACTTGTGAAGAGCCTGCCCAGGCAGGAGGCCCCCAAAGTGGGTTCTGAAACTTCCGGGTATAGCTAGGGGGCCTATTGAAGACCCTCGGAAAACAAAGCCCACAGTCTCAGTCCTGGAGGTCCTCCACAGAGCAGCTGCCAGCCAGGCTGTGGTCAGTCCTCTGGCAGGCAATCCTCGGCACCGAGAGCCTCTGTCCATTAGTGTCAGCCCCGAGGGGGCCACGACGGGGGCCGCCCAATGTCCACTGTGATATTGGTGAAGAGTGGTTGCCGAGACACCTCCAAGACCTGGTACCGCACTGACCCAATGCCGTCCCGCTTCATGGTCAGCTTCGTGTTTTGAATCTTGGTAAACCTAGATAGGATGGAAATGGTCTGTATCAGGGCTAACAACTGTAAACTACAAATAAAATCCTACACCCCCCAATCAACTAAATGGACCCCCTTTTGGCCAAGGGGACCCCAGAGAAACCTTAAAAACAGGGTTTCCAGCCATGATGGGAAGGGACGTCAAACATGCCTTGTTATACCCACTCCCTTTTGCAGTTTAGACACAACAAATGACCAGGATTAACGTCAAAGCAGAGATCACAAGACTGACAGAATGCATTCTTTGTGTCAATAAGATACCTAATTATAAATAGGATCTAAGGCCAGCCAGGCAAGGGTTAAGTCATGCACCTCTGCACTTAAAGAAGAGACTATGCTCTAACTGCCGCAAGGATTCTCTTTTTCTGTAGCAGCTAAACAAGTACTGGACTTGAGATAACCAATATTAAGACAATTTGCATAATGTGGTAATTTATTAAAGCTAAAAATAATAGAAAAAAATTTGCAGCTCACCCACTGCCAGATGCTGACCCCTACGCCCCTGTTCCACAAGCCATAACTATAGCTTTGGTGGGACAAGAGACTGATTTCAGTAACTTTCTCCTGATAAGACCATCGGCTGTGAACTGGTTCTAGCCAGTTTACAGAGGCTGCACACTTGAGTACTTTTGTCTTTTTGAGGTATAGGGCCTAACTGCAATACATTTAAATATTGTCTCCACCCCAAAGTGAACATGGATGATATATAACATGCATGTTTGTTCAATATGCATATGTCAGGACCCCCTCCATGAATATTCATAGCTCCTCCAATAACCTATTGACCAATCCATTCAACTAAAATTCCTATCTCACTCCTCCCTCCCTCGAAGTGCCTGTTAAGGCTTTGGCTGGAGGCTCTGCTTCCTAGCCAGTGGGATGGCCAGCCTGCAGGTCGTAACCCTTTATAAAGGAGAAATAAAGTCTCCTTTTCAAATTTGATATAGTGATTTTTTGTTTGTTTTTTTTTTTGAGACAGAGTGCAATGGCGCCATCTCAGCTCACTGCAACCTCCGCCTCCCAGGTTCAAGCAATTCTCCTGCCTCAGCCTTCCAAGGAGCTGGGATTACAGATGCCTGCCACTGCACCCAGCTAATTTTTGTATTTTTAGTAGAGATGGGGTTTCACCATGTTGGTCAGGCTGGTCTCAAACTCCTAACCTCAGATGACCCGCCCACCTTGACCTCCCAAAGTGCTGGGATTATAGGTGTGAGCCACCTCATCCAACTGATCTAGTGATTTTTAAGTTACCACCACCAAACCCAGTATGGGATCTCTGTGGCCTAAGCTTAAGCCATCCTGGCTCCTTCCAGGGTTGACTTGGCAGGAGCCCTTCTGCTCTTGCATTGGCCCTCAAAACAGAGATCTCACCTGCTTCAGTCAGAAAACAGAAGTCTGACACCCTCACAAATCTCTCAGCTCAGACTTTTTTTTTTTTTTAAAGACAAGAGTCTTGCTCTGTTGCCCATGCTGGAGTACAGTGGCGCAATCTCAGCTCACTGCAACCTCTGCCTCTTGGGTTCAAGTGATTCTCCTGCCTCAGCCTCCTGAGTAGCTGAGACAACAGGTGCACACCACCAGGTCCGGCTTTTTGTTTTGGTTTGGTTTTTTGAGATGGAGTCTTGCTCTGTTGCCTAGGATGGGAGTGCAGTGGTGCGATCTCAGCTCACTGCAACCTCTGCCTTCTGAGTTCAAGAGGTTGCCTCTCAACTTCCTGCCTCAGTCTCCAGAGTAGGTGGGATTACAGTTGCTCGCCACCATGCCCAGCTAATTTTTTTGGTATTTTTAGTAAAGATGGGGTTCACCATTTTGGCCAGACTGGTCTCAAACTACTGACTTCAGGTGATCTGCCCACATTGGCCTCCCAAAGTGCAGGGATTACAGGCATGAGCCACCGTGCCCAGTCTTTTTTTTTTTTTTTTGTATTTTTAGTAGAGACAAGGTTTCACTGTTGGCCAGGCTGGTCTCGAACTCCTGACCTCAAGTGATCTGCCTGCCTTGGCCTCCCAAAGTGCTGGGATTACAGGCACAAGCCAGTGTGAGGTCAGCTCAGACCTTTCTATGCCTGAGACCAGGCATCCTACAGGCATCTCAAGCGCAACCAGATGCATCATTTTTACTCCCCACGCCTGTGCCATTTTCTCTGTTCCTCATTCTTTAGTGACTCTTTCGCCAGCTATTTATTGAGCACCAGCACGTGCCAGGCTGTGCTCTAAGCACCAAGGCTACCGCCATAGCCATGACAGGTGGGGTCCTTCCTCTCAGGGCAAGTTGGCTTCTCTAGGGGAGGCAGGTAACAGAGAAAACATCGGAGTGCTAAGAGAGACAAGAGGGCATATGTGACATTGAGCTGAGGGCAGGAACAGAGCACTCCAAGCAGAGGTCACAGCACATGCTGACCCTAAATTGGGAAGATTTTGCACAGCTGAGTGGCTAAACCTGAATGGGACACCTGGAAAAGCAGAATATTAGCCTGAAGGTTCAATCACACTGTGCAAGGGCAGGGCTCTAAGTCAGAGTGAGCAGTTCATATTTTCATTCTCACAGAATGAAATGTGTAAAGGCTCTAAGAAATGTTTAACTCAGTTTGGGGGGCAAGCCATAAACAGGGAAACCAGTTAGAGGCCACTGCAGTAGTCCAGGCAGTATCCCAGAGGTTGAACTAGGGTAAAGGTAGTAAAGGGGGAAAGCAAATGGACTCAAATGTTTTAGGGGTGGCAGTGATACAGCTTGCTGATGGATTTGGATATGTAGGGTGAGGAAAAGAATAATCCAGAACTCCCGGATTTTAGGCAACAGCAACTACGTAGAGAGAGTTCACAGAGTTTGTGAACTCTGAATTTGGTATCAGGCTGGCTGGGAGAAGGGCCTACAGGGTTTGTGAAATGTAAACAAGAGCTTCCTGATGCTGCTCTGTGATTTGTGCTAAACTTTCTGGGGGTGGGAGACTCAGAGTAGTCATACCCAATCCGTGAACCCAACATTCACAGAGTTCTTTAAGCCAGAAACTTCTTGCTATCTTGCCGCCTCTACAACCAAGCCAGACATGTGTAATTGATGGTGGCACCCAGGCAGGCTATTCCTGAAACAGGACCAAGGCTCCTGGTGTGTACTGTGGAGCTCCACTCCTCCCCCAGATGCCCTGAAGCCCCTCTTCTCTTGGTCTCTTACCCGTTTCCTGCTGACCAGTTTTCATCAGAACTGCTTTTTCATCAGCTCCCTGCACTCCCCAGTGCCTCATGCTTCTCCGAGGCACCAACCCCACACCAGGGCTACAAACCACCTCCCCCACTCCTACCCTGTGTTCAGAGTAGAAAAACCCTCCTGCTCAAGCTGGAGACACGGCATCTCCATCCCCAGACCCTGTCCCACCATGCTCCCTTGGACTCCTTAGATTCCTTCAGGCCGGGCTGACTATCTCTCCTGCTCCACCCAGCGGCTATGCCAGGCTTTCGCCTTGCTAAAGCTCAAACAGTGTGCCTTCCAAACACAAACCCCGCCCCGCCTCTCCCTGCTTCAGGTTCTTCCATGACTCCCCAGTCCTCTGGGACAAAAGTTAAACTCCCATCTGGTATTCAAGACCCCTGACACTTACATGGTGAAAGGGCAACAGAAGAAAAACCCCTAACATCCAGACCTGACTTTCCCTCCGCCCCACTGTCACTATCAGCCTGCAGAGATCTTAAAACCAAATAGCTTCAGACTCTCGGCATGTATCATACACGTTCACATTCCAGACTCTTCCGGATATGATTCCCCTTATCCAGGCTGGTTTCCTCTATTAGCCTGGGGAATGTAACACTGTGCCCAAGGTAGGCGTGAGGCAAATCTTTGTTAAATGAGTAACTATTTCAAACTCCAGTTTACCATCGCCTCCTCCAGGAAGCCTTCCATCACCAATCCCTGTTCTGCCAAGAGAACACCTTGCCTTGATCGCCTTGTGCTATAACTGCCTGCTTCCATAACTATTTCCCTGCCTAGAATGAACTTTGTAAGGAAAAGCACAGATTGGGTATGACTACTCTGGGTCTCCCATCCCCAGAAAGTTTAGCACAAGTCACAGAGCAGCCTCAAGAAGCCCAGGAAGCCCTTGTTTACATTTCACACACCCTTTAGGCCCTTCTCCCAGCCAGCCTGATACCAAATGTGGCTACCTCCTAAGAGATACACCCACCTCCTTCAATTTCAGAGGGGTGGGCATTGTGTTTCCACACCCCCTTCCCATCCTGCTCAAGTCCCCTTTGTCGGGTCCACGGGAGCTGTGCCCAGCACCCACTGGCTCTTGTCCTATCTGTCCCAGCAGGGATCCCACAGGTGCACAAGTGAGGTCTGCGAGGGCACCAACAGGAATGCAATCTACTCAATTACTATTTAGGCCTTGACATTAAATTCTAGTCACCTCTAGGAATCGGGCCAGGGGTAAGTGATATTGGGCTGAGGCTGGGCTGGGGGTTGGGGGACAACGATCAGGGGTACCAGCAGTCACCTCTAGGACTCAAGGGCCTTGGATCACCTCAGGGAATCAGTGGCACTGGGAGTCACCTCTTTGGAGTCAAGGATGCTTGGAGATCCCCCACTGGGGGGTCAGGCATTGGGCAACTTGGGGTTAAGAGCTGGGGATATTGGGAAGTTGCCTCTGGGGAGTAAGGGTCACGTGAGGGTGCTGGGGTTACCTCTGGGGAGTAAGGGGTGAGGGTGCTGGGGTCACCTCTGGGGAGTAAGGGTGAGGGGTGCTGGGGTCACCTCTGAGGGTTGGGTTCGTTATGCTTGTCACGGTCGTGCTTGATCATGCGGTAGCGGCCGATTCGGATGTCTGGGCGAGAGATCTTCATCCCAGTGAGGGAGATCCTGAGGATAGGGATGGACAGACTGGAACAGGCCCCAGGAAGGGCAAGGAACCCCACCCAGTCTGTACCTCACCCCCCACCCACCCAGCCTATTCCCCACCCCGTGCTTACTCACCGGTTGAAGATGTCATCATCCTCGCCACCCCAGCCCCAGTACTCGTTGGGGAAGCCATTGATTCTCAGAAACTGAGCCTTACTCAGGCCTGACACACCTCCAAAGTAGCCAGCGTAGGGCAGCCTGTGGCATGGGAAGTCAGGTGTCAGTAAGGGTCCCAAGGAGACTCCAGGGGAAGAACCAGAGACTGGGTTGGGGGGAATGTCCAATGGGGTCCAGGGAGGATCCAGCCTCGCCAGTGGGGTCTGGGCTGGGGCCAGGAGCAAGCGGGGCCCTGGGGCTGGAAGTGGGTCTGTGTCTGGTGGCGGCAGGAGGGCTGGGTCTAGTTGAGAAGACAGCCCTCACCGGAAGCCAAACTTGTCCATGGCAATGGCAAAGTGGCGGGGTTGGTCGCCGCAGCGGTATAGGTTGCGGTCATCCATGGGGACCAGGTCCACATCGCTGAAGATGAAGCAGTCATAGGTGGCATCCTCCTTCAGCGCCTCTAGGAAGCCCACGTTGAGCAGCTTGGCCCGGTTGAAGGTGTCCTCACCATGCTGGGTGAGGGGAGGAGCAGGTCAGCTCTGGGCCTGTGACCAGCAAGCACCTGCCCTTTGCCACTCTCCAGAGCAGTCTCTGGGGATTTACCAGCCCCCTCGCTGCCTGGCTCCTCCAGACTCTCAAGATCTAGTCCAGCTTCTCGACCGGGATCTGGCCTGCAAAGGCCTTTCATACGTGGCTCCAACCTCCTCTCTGGCCACTGCCCTCATATCCTGAGGCCCAGCCACACAACATCCCTCAGCAGCCCCAGAACATGCCAGACTCTTCCTTGCCTCCAGGCCTTGGGGTTAGCAATACCTGTGCTTGTCACACTCAGGGCTGGAGCGGCTCCCCTGACCAAACTTCCCCACCCCAGTACACTTATTCCCTCCTTCCCGTGGGCTTCCTTTATGCCAATACCCAATGACAACGATGGGTGGAGTTCTCATCTCATTCGCTCATTCAAACACGCCCTGTGGCTCTCTCTCCTTTGTGCTAGTGGGGATTCTGGAGATGGCCAGCCCTGGTCCCACTCCCGCTGTGTATAGAGTCATGCAGTGAGACAAACAACGAATGCCCCAAATGACCAGTGTCTAAGATGCAGGAGCCATGGGGACTGCGCCAGGAGCCTCAGGCTCCCTGGAGCTGCATCCAGCTGCCTGGGCAGCCTCTGAGACCAGGACACGTCTGGGCTAGATTCACTTCTCTCTCCAACAAAATGACAAGCAGAGGGCCTACAAGCAGTCACAGCCCAGTGAGTCTGGGGTCCCCTGAGAACTGGGGCTGCAGGAGTCCTGGCCATGCAGGCCTAAGCACCAAACTCTGGACTAGCAGGGAGCATTCAATGGGAGGAGCTGACCCCTGAGCCCCTGCCCCAACCCACAGCCTCCAGGCTAGAGCCAGAAAGGTTCCTGGAGAGGGGCCGGTGAGTGGCCTTTCTGGAATGAGTGGAGAGAAAGGCCCTCCTCTCCACCAGCAAAGCCACTGCCGGAAGAGGTGGGAGCTGCTCCCCTCTGGAACCCTGACCTGCCCAACCCCGCCGGCTCTCTTCCCTCCCTCTCCTGCACCTCCTCTTTCCCCACCCTTGGAGAGACCGTCACTTTCCTCCCAGCTCATCAGCACTCCTCCTGACCTCTCACCAGCCAGGAGCCCTGTCTCTCTCCCACATGGCTCATAAACATGCTCAATCCTCTCCCATCTGAAAAAACAAACCTCCCTCCAGCCACCATCCTACCTTTTGCCTTCCCTTCTCAGCAGGAATTTTTTTTTTAAAGAGTTGTCTCTAATTGGTTACTTCCATTTCGTCAAATCCGATTCCTTCTTCAACCCACTGCAATCTGCTTCCGCCCCCACCATGCCCCTGAAATGGCTCTCGCTGGGCCCACCTTGTTGCTAAATCCACTGGACGAGTTTTGGTCCACATCCCTCCTCACACCCCCACAGTGCCCATGCAGCTGCCATGTCTCCTTCCTGACACTGACTGCTGGGTTTCTGGGATCCCACACTCCCCTAGGTCTCCTCCGGCCCTTCTGGCCAAGCCTCTCAGCCTCTGTAGTGGCCTCTTTCTCCCTCCATCCCTGAAGTGCTGGCTTCCTCCTCTCATGCCCCTTGCTACCTGGCAGGTCAGACGTTGTTGGTTTTAGGGACCAGACCGTCTACATCCTGGTGCTCCCAGATCCCTCTCTCCACTGCAGACCTCCCTTCTGGGTCCAGACTCATTTGTCTAACTGCCTGCTAAACATGTACTTCCCACAGGCACTCAAACTCATCACACGCAAGAAAGGATTCAGAGTCACACTCCCCCAGAACTGGCCCAGCTCCTGTGTCCCCATCTCACTCACAGGCACAGCCATCCCCACAGCCAACAGCCGAGGCGGAAACCCTTGCGCTGTCCTGACGTCGCTCTTTTCTAACTCTCCACTACTTGCGCAACATCCCCACTTCTTCCCCGAGACTCCCGCCCCACTCATCCGCAGGGTCACCGCCTCTCTCCTAGGCATTGTCCTCTCTTCCAGACGGGCCACCCTGCCTCTAATCTCCCCTTTCCATCCATGCTCCATATGCAACCAGAGCAACCTTTCTACAAGGCAAACACGCAAGTCACTCTCCCCTTACAACCTGACATGGTGCCCTGCCACCTTTGCGCTGGACTTACTGCCAGCATGCCTCCCAAGACACTTCTCAGTTTGACCTCCAACTCCTCCAGCCTCATCTTTGCTACCCAGCCCACATGCTGGACACACAGTCCACACCTCAGCCAATAAATGGTGAACACAAGGCCAGCTCTCTCACTGGGCCTGCATCCTCCAGGTCCCTCTGCCTAGAATACTGGCTTCTCTAGACCCTGATGCCTGTTCATCTCTCAAGACCCATCTCAGCAACTGCTTCCCAACCCCAGGGCTGGGCCAGGGCCCTCTGTGCTCCCATGGCCCCCTGCTCCACCTCCACTTGCACCCCATCATACAGGAGGGACCCAAGTCCAAGACTAGGAGGTCTCTGTGGTCGGGGGGTGGGGGGGACCTGCATCAGAAGTCCCTTCTGGGACCCAGTGGCCAGTCCTAGCCAGGCCCACCAAAAGCCTTAAGATGCTGAGCTGAGTGCCCTGGCCTCAGCTGTGGCTGGCACCTACCCCAAAGCGTTCTGCAGGCTTCACCCTTCTTTCAGGGTCTAACTCCCTCTCCTCAGGGCCCTCAACACCTCCTCCTACAGCATACCCTAGGCCTGCACCACCATGGGGTGAGGCCTGCCAAGGCTAGAGAGTGGGGCTCAACCCCTTCTGAGACCATACACACCCCTGCCAGTGTGCATGCCAACATTCACATGCACACACTGTGTGCACACATTCCTGTGCACACTGACAAACACAGACTACCCATGCCCAGGTACATCCACATATCCACATGGCCATGGGCAGACAAGGACCCACAAATGCCCCAACCCACATATACACCAACAGGCACATGGGCCCCCACATGGGCACCTGGTTGATGACATAGACACCGTAGCGCAGCCGCTGCCGCCTCAAGATGGGGTGTAGATAGTGGAGCCAGTAGCGCAGGTGGTGTTCCCGGTGTCTAAAGGGGATGATGACCGCCACCGTCTGGGCTGGGGTGCAGTCGGGCGGTGTGTATCGGCCACCCATGAGCACGCCTGGGTTCTCCCTCTGCACCCGCTCCAGGGGCATGGGTGAGGTGAACTCGATCAGCAGTCTGCCCACTGCAGGCAGGACAGTGTCAGGAATCAGGCCAGAATCCACAGATACCAGCCCCCACCCTCAGCCTGGGGGTGGGCTAGGGAACCCCAAGAATAGCCCTCTTACAACAGACCTGGACCCTTGGCACCCCCATGGGTCCGGATGCCATTTCTCTAGTCAAATCAATAAAACCCTGTTTCCCCACAGGCAGGCCCTACCCTCCAGGCTCACCAAGACCAGGTGGCGAGTCAGGACAGGGTGGCAGCATAGGAGCCGTGGGACCGGGCCGGGCACTGGGGACCTCAGGGAGCCCGGAGCTAGAGGCGGTGGCGTTAGGCCGGGAGCAGTTGCCGCTGCTGCTGCTGCTGCTGGCAGCTGGGTGGAGAGCACGGGCAGGGCCTCGGGCACTGAAGCGGCTGAAGAAGGCCAGGTGCTGGGCGTAGACGTCAAAGTAGAGGATGACGGCCACGAGGAAGTGCAGCAGGCAGAGAAGGAGCACAGCCTTGCAGACGCGCTCCAGCGTCCCCCCCAGCAGTCTGCTCATCCCGCAGGCGGCCGCTGGCCCGCCCAGTGGGCCCGGGCATCCGGCTGCCGGCCTGAGCAGGGTGGGAGGGAAACAGATCCAGCAGGTCAGGGCAGGACAAGCAAGGCTGCCCACCTACCTCCCACCCAGCTACCCACAGTCGCGGGCCACACCTCACACTGACCTGCTCATACCCTTTCCCGCTCACAGACTCACGGACTTACCTGCAGACACCCAGGCACAGTTCCCGGCAACTCAATACTCACATCCTCAAGCACACCCCACTACTAAGCCACATACAATTACCTTCCTCCACCTCACTGACACACACACTCAGGCACTCACCCTAATTGCACAACTCTACACACACACTCACGCATTCCCAGGAACACAGACATGTGAACTCTGACCACACTGGTTTGTACCTAAGCATAGAGACATGTTTACCTATAGACCCCCGTGTGCCCCGGTGCCTCTGAGAACAGACACCCCACAGGGCAGCATCCTTAACCCAGAACTCATGGCTTTGGGAAGCGGGAAGAGACGGAATACTGTGCACCTACCATGGAGGAGCACCTTATACTCATGACTGCATTTAGTCCTTCCAGGAGCCATGGTGGGAAGTGGTTTGGTCATTCAGATCCCAGGCCAGGCCAACTGGGACCAGGCTGGGAAGTTGCCCTCAGCATCCGGGGGGCCCAAATACAGACTGGATGTTTACAGAATCCCTTCCCACTGGAGCAAAACGTCAAAATATGGGGTGGGGCAGGGGACACCCCTCGCTTAAGACCTCAAAGCCAGCCCCTTGGGACTGGGACCAAGGCTCTGGGCCCTGTCCAGCACAGCTGGTTCTGATTCCCGGAACGGGATGCTTGGGCCTGGAGACGGGCACAGCACTGGGCATGGCAGGAAGGGGTCTTGCCTGGGCAACGGCTCCAGCTGTGGTTCCAAGAGAGCAGCAGCCACTTCTGGCAGTGCTTCAGGGAGCAGAGCGAGTCTCACAGGCACACAGAATCACAGGGACACCCTGGCCCCAGCTAGTCACCCACACTCAGACACACAGAGAACTACAGTCACAGACACACCCGGGTGACAGTAACACACGAAGTCCCACACTCACAAACAAAGCCACTGCTCCTGGACTTCCACAGCCATACATCCAGGCTCCCAGGCAGCTCACATCCAGACCCACGTGCAGACATTCCTACTCTCCCTCCAGCGCAGGGGTTCTGGGTCAGGCTGGTGGCCAGGCTGAGGGGTGCGTTTGGGCGGGGCTGGCAGGCTGAACACGTGGCACCTGGGGAGGGGCAGGCCGCACAGACCGGGTAGGTATGCAGCCTGGGGGCAGGGGGAGTGGGTGGAGGGCAGGGGACGAGGCAAAGGCCAAGGGGAAACGTGTATGGAACGCCTCCCCGCGCCACGAGGCCGGGGCGAGCGAGGACAATGAGGGAGGCCGGCTGGACGCGGGCGGAGGAACCCAGGAGGGGCGCCGGGGTGGGGGCGGGGTGGGGGCAGCCAGGCCAGGGTCTGGCCGCCGGCGCCTCTCTCACCGGCTCCTGGGTTGGGATCTCGGGGCCGCGCCCGGGGTGCCCCTCGCGGGGCTGGGTCTGGAATCTCGGGGCCCTGGGGGGGGGCCGCGCGCGCCCTTCTCTCACCCGGCGCTCGGGGCTCAGCAGGGGACGCCGCTCCGGCTTGGGCAGGGCTCCCGGCTCCGGCGGCTGCTGACGGTTCCGTCCCCCATGGCCCGGCCCCGCCGCCTCCCGCCGCCCGGTCAGCGGCCACCGCGGCCCCCGGGTCGCCTCCCGCCGCCGCCGCGCGCCGCCGCCGCCGCGGGCCCATGAGCACCGAGCCGCCCCGGGGGGCAGGCGGGGCCTGGGCGGCCGGCAGACCACCGACGGCGACCCGACGGAACACAGCGCCGCCGCCGTCCCTGCCCGCGCTACGGCGCCTCGGAGGGGGCAGGCCCGGCCCGCGCGCCCGCGCGCGCGCGCCCCGCGGCCCCGCCTCCAGCACGCGCCGCACCCGCGCGCGCCGCTACGAGCCGCCCTGCCGGCGGCGAGCCCGGCGCCCGGAGGTCACGGACCCCGGAGCGGAGGAGGAAATGGGGTCAGGCTGGTCCAAAGGGTGGGCTTAGAGATCGGACCGGCGAGCGGGTGCAGACTGTCGAGTTCTTTAGCGGGGAGTGGGGATTGGATTGGAGCGCGAACTCCCTAGGAAGGGGACCTGGAGGTTGGGTAGACTCAGGCTGGGGCGTTAGGGATTTGTCAACTCTAATTGGACCAAGATTCAAGGTCGGCCAGCAGAGAGGGGGCAGGACCCTTAAAGGCGTGGGCTGGAGGTGGCTGGAGCTTCTAGGGTAACAGGAAACAGGGTCACGGAAGGAGAAAAAGAGATTGGACAGGGGTGGGAGGAGCTGGGGGCCCTAGGAACAAGGATCAGAGTACAGGTTTCTGGGAGGGGCTGCTATTGGGACAGGACCACCACTGAAGGCAGAGACCACTGCCTGGGCTCCAGGCCTCACAGGGACGGAGATGATGGTCCCCGAAAGTACAGCCAGGTAAGTAGATGTTGTTAGACAACTGGGGCATGGTGGTCAGAGCCCTGAGGAAACGGGCCTAGAAGGACCACAGGCACAAACACACCCAGGGGCCCATATCTGCACACTCCCTCATCCCCAAACAAGTCTGTTTGGGGGCCACAGAGTCCTCCACCCAGCACCCTTGCCTCCCCACCTAGGAGCAAGCTCTGTGCAGATCAGAAGTGTGCAGTCAGAAAGCTGACAAGGGATTGGCATGAGGCTTGTAAAGGCCTTTTTACCCTTCCTCTGTGAATGGTGGCGCAAGAGGGCAACAGAAGCTGCACTGACCCAGACAAATACCAAGTTTATTTCACAAACACTAGGAAGATGGGTTGAGGGTGGAGGTGGGGGACACAGGTGCACAGCTGCAGAGTCATCAGCAGCAGCCTGCTCCCGGCACTGAGAGCCGGCCTGGACTGCAGTGCCTCCAAATCAACACGCAGCGAGAGGTGAGTGCAGGGAGGGCCCTGACCACCAAGCCTCTGAAAGGCTAAGGGACACAGCTCCAGCTGTCCCAGGAAAACCATCAATAAATAAGAGTGAGGCACGGCCCCACCCACACATATCATCTAGTCACCCATCTTCACTCTGGAGGTCTGCAAAAGAAGAACAGGAAAAATCAGGCAGGGACAGAGGAATACGTAAGGCAGTGACAAACGACAGAAAATGAGACCTAGCACATGGTTGGATGGACAGACCACAAGAGATTTATGACTAACCAGGATGGACACACTGTGACAGACAAGGCAGACAGACAGGGACAGACAACCACAGAGTTACGCTGTGGGACAGATGGAGAGAGGAGGCATATGGATAAAGCTAGTCACTAAGAGTCAACCCAGTCAAGCACCCACAGTCACACTCAGACCCTCAGGCTGATCCTTAGTCACAAACTCACACACTGTCAGACAGACTAGACACACACAATTTAGACAATGCTGTCCTACTGACAGGCATGTCACAGAGAAATACACATAGCTCCGAGAGGCAGTCAAACACACCATGATAGACTGATATAGACAGACAAAATTCCATCCTAGTCTAGATCACGAATACAGACTGGAGGCACGAAGAGCATGGCAGATAAAATGAGAGAACAGAAAGAGGGAGAGACTAAGTGAGAGCTATACAGATACAAAGCATTAGAAAGGGGGAAAAACAAAACAAGGCTGTTGTCAGTGATACCAAATCAGAGACAAAAATAGCCCCTGCAGGAGAAAACCAGAAGATGGAAATGAGGAGGTGGAAGCTGTTTGGGGGAATCTATAGTTATAGGTAGAGAAGGAGAGCACTTCAGCTTCTCCAGAAGGAGGGTAAGGCTAGGTTGGGGACAAGGACACAGAGGCTCCCCAAGGGGATTCATCACCTGAAGAATTGCGACGATGACCCCAAAGAGGCCAATGGCACTGCCAAAGATCTCCACGATGAGAATCTTTACAAAGAGGCTGGGGTTCTGAGCATCGGCCAGGGCAGCCCCACTGCCCACGATGCCCACGCAGACTCCACAGAAGAGGTTAGACAGGCCTACGGTGAGGCCAGCCCCAAACATGGAGTAGCCTGGGAGGATAGAGAGGGGTGCAGTGAGGCTAAGCCAGGAATGGGGGAGATATGGGCCAATGGGGCCAATCCCCATCCCCACTCTGCAAAGCAGAAAAAGCAGGTGAGAGAATATCAAAATGGGGGTCTAAGCTGGGAGGGGAGAGAGTAGAAGCAGGCATGAAATCCCAGCATTTTGCATTCATACACCCAACCACCCACCTGCATGGTAGTTCCGATGGCCAATGGCCTTGGGGTCCGTGGCACTGAAAGGCTGAGGGAAGAAGAAAAGTAATCAGAAACCACCCTGATGCACCCCATCCAATCTCTAAGCAATGTGTAGAACACACCGGAATGGATTCCCGCCACCACCCTGGCCTTCCGTACCTCAGCCATGTTGCTAATGACAATTGCCATTATGATGCCGTAGATGGCCACAGCCTCACAGAAGATGATGCTGGTAGTGGTAGAGGTTAGGGGTAAGGAGTGGAAAGGAGAAAGAAATGAGAAAGAAACCATCCTTCCTGCCCAGTAAGTCCCCAGTAACCTTTCGCCGCTAACATCCCATCCACAAGGCGGCTTGTCAGAAACAGTATGTCAGATCACACACACAGGCAGCGCCAACACAGCTAGTTCTGACAAAAGTCCGAGGGCCCTGACACTTACCTGACCAGGTTCTTGGTCTTGATCCTGGGGGCCTTCACTCCTCCACCAATGATGGAAGAGCCAGTAATATAGATACCCCTGGTGGAAGGATAAAAAACTGATGAGCAGAGCCCAAGCTGTCACTGCCCTCAGCATGACTAAGACCCCAGTGACACCACCTGCCATGACTCAGCCCCTGCCCCCAGTCCCACCACACCAGTACTCACCAGGCTGCCCCAACCACAGACAGGGAGATAGCTAGGCCAATGCCCAGGTTGGACCACATGAAGGGCGAAGTCTCCGTCAGGAACCTGTTGTGGAGGCAGAGAAGAAAGCAACTCAGCCCTAGCAGGGAAGTAGAGCACAAAATCTTGGCCCCCCAACCCCCCTTCAACCCCACCACCACTTCTGCATGCAACAACTGATTGCATATTTCCCAAAGGTCCATGTCCCAGGCAGGCGGTGGTGTGGCCCGAGAGGGACTCAGACCAGAGAAAAGAGGAGAGGCTGCAGGGAAGAAGCTTCAAGGGGAATCCTCCCCCTGCCCTCCCTTACCATGCCACATCAAAGCGGAAGCCCAAATCAAAAATGGTGTAGCAGATTCCTGCAGCAATGAGGAAAAAAAAGGGGGTTACGGGATGCTCTGTAGAGATAAGTTCCTCAATCTAAAGTAGCTGCCGAACTGAAGGGCCGCGCCGAGCTGAAGGACCACCTCCCTGAAGGGGCGCCCTCAGGTTGCCTGAGGGGGCGTCCTCAGGCTGCCCTCAGGTGACAATACAGCTATCTAGACAGATTCCTGTGCTTAGGCCTCCATTTTCTGCCACTCCCTTGCTAAAACCACCTCCCAGACCAAGCACCTGTGCAGGCAGGATCGCCACCCGCAAGCCTGAATCCGAGGCGGGACCGAGGGAGCAAGCGCTCCAGCCAGGCCCCGCCAGATCCCGCCGGTCCAGTCCGTTCCGCTGTTTACCCAACAAACTGTGAGTGGGGGAGGGCAAAGCGACCGGGAAAAGAGGAACCGGAGGAGCCGGCTTGTGACCAAGCAGGCCGGTCAGAGCAAGAAAAGGGGGACGGCAGTGAGACGTGGGGGCGGCGGGAGACAGCGATAGTGGCAGGAAGGGAGAGTGCTGCCCTTGCGGCCCCTACCCGCCCGCACCCGCGCCCCTCCTCAAGTAGCTAGAGATCCGGGTCTCCTCTGTCGGGGTCAGAGGCCCTCGCAGGCGCCAGTCCAAAAAGCCCGGGGTGCAGAGCGCGCGGGGGGCCAGTATTCCCCGCAGGCCACTTCCCCGGTGGGTTCTGGCCCGGCCAGCTCGGCCGCGATGCTGCCCCCGCCCGCCAGGACCCGGCCTCACCCACGGCCAGCGCGCAGGCCCAGAAGGCCACGAAGACCCCGGAGTAGAGCAGCGCTAGCCCCGTCATGGCGGCGACGGCGGCGGGGGTCGGAACCGTGGGGCCGGAGTTACAAACGCGTCCCAGCGTCCACCGTCCGCCCCGCAGTCTGTCCGCCCGCCCCGCAGCGTCACCTGACTCCCCCACGTGACGCGCCGGCACCACGTGACCCCACGCCGGTCCCCGCGCAGCGCCGCCGCCCGTCTAGAACAAGGCGACGCCGGAACCGCAGGCGCTGGGGATTGTGGTAATTGTAGTCACGCGTCTCGGCGGAGGCTCGGGCGCCCTCCTTACTAGGAACTTCGACATCTGGCCGGTCCTTTTCGAGTCTCTCCACCTCGCCCTGCCAGCCCTGTTTTATTCTCTAGCCTGCTCGTGGGCCCCTAAGGCGTCCTCTCTAGCCGTCGTGCGTCCTAGCCAGTGGCGGGTGGCGCCGCGCGTGCCCTCTGCCTCACCTTGCTCAAAGCGTCCCTCCGCCCAGCGCGCCTGTTGGCTGTCGTTCCGCTGCTTGGCTAACACCTGCCGTCCTCCGAAATCGTCCTTCTGTCAAGCCTTCCCTAACCCAGTGGCAGGGAAGCGCGTTTGCTGGGCTCCCACGATGTCCTGGTGATGCTTATTAAGCTTCAGTAAGATGTCACTCCCCTGTCTTAATGCCCTGATAGCTCCCATTTCATTCAGGAGAAAAGCCAAAGTCCTCACAATGGCCTGCTAGGCTCCCCACGCCCCTCAGCTGACTTCACCTTCTAATACTCCGCCACTCTCTCTTCTGCCTGCACTGCCCTCCTTGCTATTTGCTTGAACGTCCCAGCCATATTCCCACGTCACTGCCCTTGCACTTGCTCCCTCTGCTTCTCCTAACTATCCATGCGGCTCATCCTGTAACTTCCTTTCAGTTTTTGCTCACCTTCTTGAAAAGGCCTTCTTTGACCATTCTGTGTAATATTCCACCCCCCTTAAACGCTCCTCTGCTTCCCAGCTTTACATTTCTCACGGTACTTACTGATCACCATTTGGCATACCAAGTCTTTTATTTGTCCATCTCCCCCTGGAAGAATGTAAGCACCATGTCTTTTGTGTCACTCACTGGTGTATTTCCAGTACCTGGCACAGAGTGTGTCCTCAGGACATATTTGTAGAACACGATTGATGCCCACTTTGTCCGGGTTACCCTGTCAGCTTACAGCTCTACCTCCACCATTAGACTAGGCATTCCCTGAAGGTAGGGACCACATCTCCTTTGTTCACCTTCAATACCCTAGACAATCCCTCCATGACAGGATTCTCAACAAATGTGGGGAAGAGGGGAGTCTTTTCATTTCACCCCTCTCCACCCTTAGGGCCCAGCAACCCCACTTGCTTGAAGTACCCGCCATGTTGGTTCATGCCTGTGTTTAAGCCCAAATGTCTTTTTCACTCCTTTTCTCCTGACAATTATTTTTTTCCTCCAAAAGATCTAGCTTAGGTGTTATGCCCTCTGGGAAGCCTACTCTCAGTCCTTGTCAGGTGTCTCCTGTGGGATCCAGCTGTCCCTGGGACTTCCCTCCTCCCAGATAGGGCTGTTTCACTGTATGCTGACTGCATATTTAACTCTCTTTCCAAGTACACTGGAAAGGAATCTGGTTAAATACAGTTAACATCTACATCCCAGGACCTGTGCAGGACCTATAGTATTTCATGAATTAAAAAGAAACAAAGAGAAAAGGTATCTGGTTTATTCAGGTTGCTGTGATCTCCCTGAGAAATAAGAGTCAGTATAGACCAACACTGTCCAACAAACAGAACTTTCTGCCATGATGGCATTATTCTGTAGCTGCACTGTCCCCTCATGTGGCTGTCTGAACACTTGAATGACTAATGTGACTGAGAAACTGAGCTTTTAATCTTAATTAACTTAAATTTAAGTTTAGCCACATGTATTTAGTGGCTACTGTACTGGACAGTGCAGGTCCAGCTCGACCAGTGGTTCTCAACTGAGGGCAATTTTGCCCCCACAGAGAACATTTGCCAATGTCTGGAGATATTTTTAGTTGTCACAATTGGGGAAGTGCTTCTGATGTCTAGTGGGCAGAAGCCAGGGATGCTGCTAAGCACCCTACCATACACCGGACAGGCCCCACAACACACAATTATCTGGCCCCAAATGTCAGGTATGAGTTTGAGAAACCATGGTCTAGACTGTCTAGCACCTGCCTTTTGACAAGGACAGACCCTCAACTGGAGACCAGGAACTGGGATTGGCCAAAGGTCCTGGGCTGCCCCCAGGAAGACAGATGGGTCCAGAGGCCTCAGGGAAGTCCCTAAGCCCTTTATTCCATCAGCCAAACAACAAGCATTTACTGGGCATATGCTTAGCTTGTGCCAGTGCCAGGACAGATCAGAGATGGATCCTATCCTCAGTGAAAGCTGCCTGCTCTCCCTCCTTCCAGGGTCCTTCAAGGATCTTGGCAGGGGGATGGGAGGTTGGTGCAGGGAACACTAAAGGTCCTAGCAGCCATTCATAAGTCCATCTATGTCTCCGGCCCCACACGGTATCAGCCGCTTCCCTCATCCTCATAGGCGATGGCAATCCCTCGTCTTCCACTCACAGCTTCTGTCACTGGCGTCTGACCCAGGCGGGGCTCCAGCCCTTGCCAGCTCCGGGAACTAAGGAACGAGGCTGTAGAGGGAGGGGGCTCAGTCTGAGTGCACTGCATCTGGAGAAAGAGTTCAGCTGAGAGTGGAGACTTGTACATTTACCTGCAGGACTGCTCTCAGCCAGTTCCAGCTGGGGCCGTGGGGTCAGGGCCAAGCTTCCAGAATCATTTGATGACTTCCAGGCAGGTGGGGGTCGGAGATCTCCAGTAATGAGTGACACATCTGGGGTTTCCCACAGCTCTGACTCAGGTGGTGGGAGAGGCACGTGGAAGGGAGAGCCTGAAAGGGAGGAGGAAAGAAAATCCATACTCACCCCCTGACTCCGTGCCCCAGGTTTCCAGCTTAGGCAATGCCCCACTACTCACCAGGCAATAAGTCTGCATAATGTGTGAGGTGGGGAGCCAGGCCTGGAGGTGGCCAGGCAGGGTTGCAGGCAGCTTCCAGCTCACATGGTGCCAGTATAGGCCGGAAGAAGCTACCAGAAAGCTGGGGGGCTAGGGCACCCAGAGGACAGGCTAATAGCACAAAGACATCCACCTCAGGGAAGTTGGCAAGCTTGGCGGGGGTGGGCCGCCCCAGGGCCAACACATAGCTACGCTTGCCGGCAGCCTGAGTCAGGTTCCGCAAGTGGGCCAGTGCCTCACGGTGTTGAGCTACACCCAGTGTGCCTGCCAGCAGCCCTACAACGTGGGCATCTCTGGCCCTCTCTACCAGATATCGTCTTCGTGCCCTTAGCCGTCCAGCCCGGGCACCCTCATCCTGAGTCTTCCCTGTATCTGGGCAGCAGGAGAAGAAGGGTCGACCTGGTGCCCACCCCAAAAGCAGCCGACTCAGGTCTGGGTCAAGGTCTGGGTCAGGGCTGGCCTCAGAGCCCCCCACGTAGAAGGCACCATACTCTTCTAGACGCCTCCCTGGGGCAAGAGAGAAGTAGCGCCCAAAACGCTCCAGGGGCTTAGGCTCTGGATTCAGGGAACCCACTGGCAGGGGAAAAGCTGGGCTGGAGACTAGCAGGTCCAGGTACCGTGGGCGCAGGAGAGTAGCCAAAGCCTCTGGAAGAGAAGGAAGTAGTGTTGATGTTGGAGCCTGGCAAAGCAGGAGCTCCCTCATCCCCAGGAGACTAAATATGACCCAGTAGGCTGGGGCCAAGCCCATATCAAGAGTTCTATGGATGTATATGGAAATGGGGAAATTAAGGCAGAAAGCAGTTGGCCCACCCTTTGTGCATACACAGGCAAAACCCCTTACCCAGGGCATGGGCACAGGCCGGCTCACTCAGCAGCGCCACAGGCGCTTTGGGGTCTGGGTTCTGGGCCTCAAAGGCCTTGACGCAGAGCTCCAAGGCCACAGAACGTTGACCAAGGACGAAGGCGACGGGCAGTGGGCGGGCTGGGGGGCTTAAGCAGGCAGGGCCAAAATGTATGAGAGCCTCAGCTCCAGCTTGCTCAGCACCCAGCACATCCATGCAGCAGCTGCAGGGGAGATAGCATCAGTGAAACGGGTTTTCTTCTGGAAGCGAGTTGCTGTCATCACTGGAAAATGTGGTCAGTGGATAAAATGGTTTCATTAAAGGAAGACATTGTCAATGAAAGGAGCTAGCATCAGGAGGGGAGTCATTACCATTATCATCAAGGAGAAACACCACCACTGAAGGCAAACACTGTCATAGATGTAAAACCCTATGAGCCCCGGATCCCCAGGCCTGGCCCACCTAAGGCCAAGTTCACACCTGCCGTAGGCTGTGTCCCCCAGAATGAACATCTTTGACCCTGTCGTCTCCTCCAGTCGTGCAGCCACAGCCACAGCATCTCCCAATAGCTGGTCAGGGAACTGCAAGGCAACCTATAAGCATAAACCATGGAGTCAGGGACAGCCTCTCTCCCACCGAGGGCTTCTTTAAAGCAATATTCCAGGAGCTCCCACTCAACCTTCAAAGCCCCCGGTCCCAGAGGTGCACTCTGCCCCACGTAGTAGATGGAAGGGAGGGATGGTCAACGCGCTGCGGACAGACTGATTCCCCCACCCTCTCGCCCTCACAAAATCCCCCAAGATCCGGATCCTCTGGGCGACCCATCCCCACAGAGGCGAGCCACCCTTCCCTAAGTCTGTCCTTACTCGTTCACACCCCAGGTCGCGGATAAATCCAGCGACTCGCTCCAGCTCGTACACTCGGTCCAGGTCCGGGAGAGGAGTGAGCAGTCCTGGCACCCCCGCCTCTCGCTGCAGCGCCGCCTCGGCAGGGCTGCTAAACATCGACTCCATGAGGCACAGCTTGGGTTGTGGGATGCAGCGGGGACCTCCCTGGGGCAGCTTCGGGGTCTGAGTCCTCAGGAGCAGCACTCAGGGGATCAAAATCGCCTTGTGGGGGTAGGGAAATCACAGTCGGCCTTCGGCCGGTGGGCATCCCCTTCAGCCATCCGAACTCCTGTTTCCCCGCTACACGTGGGACTACCGGGGAGGTTACTTCCGGGTTTTAGAGGCGGGGCTGATAGCGATTTTGCCAATCCTAAATCAGCACAGCTCCCGCCCTCCAATCCTCGCCACCAAGCCCCGCACAGAGAACCAATGTTCTGCCTGAGTCCCAGGCCAGCCGGAAGTGCATTGAGGAAGGCGCGGAGCCTTGTGGGCATTGTAGTTCCCCTGGCGCTCCTCTCGGGCGCTGGGAGTCCGGTTCAGCCCACCCGCGGCCATCAGGAGCACCAACTTCACTGTTAAGCATTTCACGTGCACGCTATCCTCTGGGCAGTATCACTGCATAATTCTTTCATTCATTCTTTCTTTTATTTTTGACAAGGTCTCGCTATGTTGCTCGGACTGGAGTGCAGTGGCGCAATCTCCACAACCTTTACTTTCTGGGCTGAAGCCATCCTCCCACCTCAGCCTCTTGAGTACTTAGGGCTACAGGCACGCGCCACCACATCCAGCTTAGTTTTGTATTTTTTGTACAGACAGGTTTTTGCCACGTTGCTCAGACTGGTCACCAACTCCTAAACTCAAGCAATCCACTCACCTCAGCCTCCCAAAATGCTGAGATTACAGACTTGAGCCACCGTGTCCGGCTACACTGCATAACTTTAAACTTGGTGCCGACCAGCTCGGGTTTGAATATTGTGCTTGGTCACTTGCTGCTGAGTATCTTAGGAATGTCTCTATGCCCATTTCCTTATCTGAAGAATGGGGAGTTGTGACAATAGTACCTCTTAATAAGATGGTTGTGAGGGTCAAATTAATTTAGCTACAAAACTTTACAAAGTAGTTCTTTGGATATCGCATGCAGTGAAAGCATTTGCTATTTAATCAGCCAAATACTGAGCACTTACTGTACATTAAGCACTTCATTTTTAGAGTTTACAGTCTTTGGAGTAAGAAATATCCCGAATGGTACCAAGGACATGACTGGCACATCCTCAGGTCACAGGAGATGCTTTGCACAGCCCCAGCCATCCTCAAACACGCTGCTTCCCATCAATACCCCCAGGGCATACCCCATAGACCTCTACCCTCCAGCTCCTCACATCCCCTCTACCCCCCATGTTTACTCATGTGTAAACACTCTCACATGCACCATCACTTGAAATGCCCTCTTTACATACCTCTGTCAGACAAGGAAACTGAGGTTCAAAGAGACTGCCTGTGTAATAAGACACGAATTCAGTAGCACAATCAGCATCAAACCCAGATCTACTGAACAGGGAAGGGATGGGAGGAATGTGGGAGTAACCAATTCCCCATCACCCACAAGGAGATTGAAAGCTCAAGGATAAAAGTGGGGAGAACTCAGTCCTGCTCTTCAGATCTTACTGAGGAGAAGCCTGGGGTACCTGAGAGGCAGCCTAGGTGAAACTATAGCTGAGGAGACAGAAAGGGAGGCCACACTGCTAAGGGAAAAAAGCAAGAGCAGGTCAGGAGCTGTCCCTGGTGCTGACTGATCCCTGACCATCCTGTGCTGGAGGTCCTGTGAGAGCGGGGAGCAGTGAACATATGGACACTAGGTCCTGCTTTCCTCTTTTCTCCTCTGCGGCTGAGATCTTCTCTCCCTCACCTCCCTGTCACCCACCTACCCCCCCTCCCCACACACACGCAGTCCCTTTCTATAGCCCTCCTCAACCATATGCAAGTTCGATGCTGTATTTAACTCCACACCAGACACCCCTCCTGGAAGTCAAAACCCCACTCCATTTCTTCACTACCAAATGGACCCAGCCCTACCCCACTTGCAGCCCAAAGCCTCAAGTCCTGTACCTAGGAAGCCTGCTATTCCTGTCAAAAGCTTTCTCCATGAAGCCTTCCCTCACTTCCTTACCATTCTCCCAGGTTGGCATGGTAGCTATGGACTAGATCAACCTTTGTTCAGGGCAGAACAATGCAGGACAGAGCTAGGGGCCTAGTAATCAGCGCTGTTGATTAAATAAATGTATGCATACATGCATGTTGGGACTAATTTAATGGGGATGGCGGGGTTGATGACACTAGTGCAACCACCCCACCCCAAGGGCAATGGCAGTATTCTGAAGGGCTCCAGCCTAGGTGTCTTGGCTACAGCAATATCTCTTCCAACCTGGGAGCTAGAGGGTGTTCCTACTGTTCCCTCTCAGGCCTGGTCCAAGCATCCTCCCATCCTTCCCCCAGGCCTTCTGGACCCAGGCTTTCAGTTAGGTGGTGGTGGCAGCAGAAAGGAGGCAGAGACAGCAGTGAGGGTCCAGGTTTACTCTTTGGGGATAGGGAAGGGTGAAGAGAAGGGGTGGGTGGGATGGGGGCACCCCTCAGTAGTCAGCTGTGTAATCTGTGCCATGGAGACCCCGGCACAGCAGTGTGAACTCCTTCACCATCTCCTTCACCCGCCTCTTGTTCACTCGCTCGCTGAAGGAGAAAAGGGAGAGCAGGTTAGCACCAGCCACCACCACTGCCCCCTCTCTGCCTGAGCCCAGGCCCACCCCAGCTCTGCTCACCGAAGGATCTGCTGGCTGAAGGTATCCTTCTGTTCAGGGCTGAGGCGGGCAGAGGGAAAACCAGGTGGCTGCAGGGCCTCCTTGATCCACATGCTCAGGAGGCTGAAGCAGTGCTTGTTCAGGGCGAACAGGATGTCGGCAAAGCAGTCCATGAGGCTGCGGGAGGCCTGGCCCCCAATGGCCTGAGGGAGAGGGGTTCTCAGCACACCAGGGTGTTGCCCCTTCTGCAGCAAGAATGCCTAACTGCCCCAGGCCCTCTGGACAGTTCCTAAGCCAAACCACATCATGGTGAGCGCTGCTTTTTGAGAGCCAGTTGATCCCCACAGCAATCCTAACAACTTTCAGCCATTTAATTGAAAAAGAAACAGAATCTGAGAGCTTAGGGAACCAAAGGCTCAAGCCTCCCAGAAGGCCAGCTGCCTCAGCAGTGTGGGGCCCTCACTCCCATCAAACCCCCCTTTGCTCCATCTCACCTCCAGCACTGCTATGAGCAGCATACGACCGTCTTCCTGTACCACCTTTCCCACAGACTCTACTTCCCCACACCGAGGCAGCAGCTCTGTCTGCAGAGGATGGAGAGGCCCATCAGCCCAGCTCCTTCCCAGCTCTCCCTGAGGACAAGACCTGTACACCCCAGCCCTACTGTCTGGAGTCCTGGGCAGGCAGGGCATTGGGGTGGCAGTGGGTCAGGGTTCAGCATGGGACTCACAAAGAAGCCACAGGAGGCCTTGACAGTAGGTGCCTCAGGGAACTTGAGGGCCAGCACAGCTGTGGGACAGGCAGAGGCAGATCAGTTTAAGGATCCTCCTAGGAGAGCCCCAGGCCCATCCGTCCGTCTCGCCCCACTTACCACACTGGAACACAGCTTTGACATCCAATCGTTCACACAGGAACAAATCTGGCTTCCGCTTCAGAGCCTGCAGGAGGTGGAGCTGGTAAGCCCAGCCCCAGCCAGCTCCAAGGACCATCCCCCCACTCACCTGCCACCCTAGCCCCCAACTTCACACCTCACAGGTAAAGGCTGCCAAAACCAGCTACCCAGCCATCTCTGGGGGACCCGGACCACCTCAGAGTTCAGTAGGTCAGGTGAGGACAGCTCAAGGGATGCTATGTACGTGTATGTGTACATGAATGCACGGGTGTATGTGAGAGAGGTTGGGGGTGGGGATAATGCAGAAAGTTTGGGTTCCAGACACCTTTCCCTCTTCCCTCCATCAGGGCCAGATGTCTCGCAGGCTCTAGGTTGCCAGCAGTGACTTCATGTTGATTCACAGAGGGAGTTAAGCACCCCAGGTTTGTGAATAGGGCAGCAGGAAGAAGAGATGGCAGCCAGACAGGGAGCCCTCAGCCCAACAGCCCTCCTCCCATGTCCCTCCTGTATTCCTGAGGCACCCTCTAGCTCCTGCTCAAGAAGAGGAAAAGTACAGCAGGAGCCTTGGAGCCTCGGCCCCATCTTTCACCCAGGGTACCCTGTGTCCAGGCCCTCTTCGGCCATACACCCACCAAGGAGTCAGTGCTGCTGTGGGTGAGGGGGAAGAGATGAAGTGAAGGGGACAGATGGCCTGCCCCGAGTGGTACCAGGACATGACTGGCACATCCTCAGGTCACAGGAGATGCTCTGCACAGCTCCAGCCATCCTCAAACACTGCTGCTCCCCAGCAATGCCCCCAGTGCATACCACGTAGACCTCTACCCTCCAGCCCCTCACATCCCCTCTACCCCATGTTTACTCATGTGTAAACACCCCCACATGCACCATCACTTGAAATGCCCTCCTTACATACCTCTGTCACACCCCTAACATACACACGCTCTCCCCATCTGGAACACACCCTCATTACACAGTCACACATCACACCTGCACATCCCCAAACCATGTCCACACACCTACACCCTCAGCCTTGCCACAGTCCCCCTGTGCACTCTCCCAACATACCCATCCACAAACACACATTCAGACACCCTCCCCATCAAAGATACACCCTTGAAAACACCCACACACATATCCATCCAGGCCCAGAACACTCCCTGTTCTTCCCTCCTCCCAACCTCCCCCTCCCCCAGAAACTAGACTTGTAAGTTCCAGGAGAGCAAGAACTGTGCCTGCTTTTGCTCACCATTATATCCTCAGTACCTAGCAAAGTAGAGCATGTATCACACACTCAATAAGTATCTGTGGAATGATTAAGCAAAGAAACACTCCATTTACCCCAACTCACAGGTTAGGGGGTCTGCATGCTAGGAACCCCTAACACACAGAAGCCCCCATCACTAACTCCATGCCCCCACAGCCCAACATGCATCTCCAAACCATACTCTGATACAGACATACCAATAACTCAACATACACTCCTATCCTCCATAATACACACTCCCACAACCCAACACACACACACCTCCAACCCATGTCCACGCTCGAAATCCATCAAGGCCTAACACATCAACAAACACCACAAAACACACAACACATCAACATACAGCATACATCAAGGCACACATTCACCCCAGCACCCAACACAATACACATACTACTTACAGGTGATTTCTGTTCCCTTCCCAAACCAAACTCAAAACATACAAAATAAGGTCTCACACACTGAAACACATACAAAACGCAAACACATCCTAACGTGGAGCCTGCACTCCACCTCTCAGCAGCAGCTCAACCTCTCCAACAGCCCAACTCTGGGCTCCACTGTGCACATTCCTCTTCAGCCCCTCGCTTTGGAGCTGCTCCCAGCCTACCTCTCAGGAGCAGGCTGGGGGCACTGAGGCAGGCAGTTCCCGGCAGGAGCACGGGGACAGTGAAACCCAGGCCCTTCAACTCCAGCCCTACCTGTGAACTTCTTGGGCAACAAGAAGCTGATGGGCGCAGTCACCACCCCCTCCCTTTCCCATTCCCCACCCGAAGCCAGCCCAGCTCCCTCCCTTCGGGATCAGCCTCTCCCTGGTCTTTGTAGAAGACTGAGCTAGTTGAGGCATAGGGGCACTAAAGGAGGATGTTGGGTTGTCAACTTCCACGGAAACAGATGAAGAAACTCTATTCAACTGAACAGAAAAAAAAATTTGTCAACAGAAAGCTAAAAATAGGCTTAAATTGAATTTCAACATAAGAGAAAGAGAAAGAGAGAGAACAGAACGTGAATGAATAAAACTAAAACACACCTGTGCCAGGAGTTGCATAAATGAATCAACAATATCAGGATGATCCCTGGGCCCTAAAATATAATAAAGATGGAACTTAAGAAAAAATTATACAAACAGCAACTCAACCTCATATAGTTATGTGGGACTGAGAGCCTGCAGGGAGACAGCGTGGGGGCACATGAGCAGCAGGAAGCAAGATAAAGAAACAAAACATACAAAAACCATGAACTGGGAGAAGCCCAACAGAAAGAGACGGCAAAGTGAAGGACGGGCCTGCCCCAGCTCCCTCCAAGGGGCCTTCCGCCTACTCCCCACTCCTCCTCGGGCCATCCCCTCGTGTTCCCTTGGTACTTGAGCAATTCTGGACTCCACATAGCTGAAGAAATGGCCACCACACTTACTGTGGCCTCTGGCAGGTTGGGGTAGCCCTACACCACTCCTAGCACATACCTCCCAGCAGCCAGTTATTGAAGAGGAGAGCCGGGATGGCAGGTGGGGGTGGGGGGGGGTCAGTCCTTGGTATCTCTTTTTTGTGGTTTATCTGAGGGCCCTAGAAAGGCCAGGGCATCAGAGCCTGAGTAAGTGCCACCTCACTTCAATGGCCTTAGGGCTCTTGATCTGGCAAAGGAAAATAATCTATTTGGTCCACTTAAACCAGAGGACTCTTGCTTAGGTATGGCAGTGCCCAGCATGCTCTGGAGATGGCCTGGCAAGTCACTGGCAGGGAACCAGAGGAGGAAACAGCATCATAAGGCCAAAAACAAGAGCCCCACCCCAGCAAAGCTCCTCCACATGGACACAGACTCAGCAGAGAGCCAAGCTCAGGGCTGAGGACTAGTTCCCATCATCTGGACATGCCAAGAAATAGGGAAAGCAGTCAACGTGTCATCCCATGGTCCAGTGGGAAGGCAGAGCCCGAGGAAGGAATGGCTAAGATTGGGATGGCGTAACAGGTATGGGAGCCATCCTGTCCAGCGAGACAACCAACAAGCCCAACAAATATGATGTTGGACACTTCTGCCTCCAGTTCTGATGATTCCTGAGGCAAGAATATGGCATGCACCTGGAGCTCCTACCCAGGCTTCTCCACTCTGAGGAGGATGTGGTGCAAAACCATCTGCCTAAGACACCACTAAGTAGCTGTGTGATCTTGCGCAAGCCACAAATGCTCAGTTTCCCCATCTGTAAAGCAGATAATCTCTGCCCTGCTTCCTTCTCTAGGCTATGAAGAGTCACCAGTAAATAAAGCCTGTTCCTTTGGTATCTGAACTCTGAGTTATTTAAGTCCTAGAAAGTAAGGCCCAATGTGCACCCTGCAGGTTTGATATTCAGCAGCCACCCTGTTAGAGGTGGGCCAGACAGTGAGAAGGTTCCAAGGGCAGGGAGCCCTCCCTCTCCTTTACTTAACAGCGTCTGTGGCCTGCTGTATTCTGGCCTCATTCTGGGCACTGGGGATGCAGAGAGAAGAAACTCAACCCTACCCTTGAGGGGCTTAGTCTAGTAAGAGAGACAGACATGAAAGCTGATTATTGTGTGTGATCGGTGCTGTTTCAGCAGTGTGTACGGGATGCAGTTTCAGTACAGTTAGAAGCACCCAATTCTGCCTCAGAAAAATTACTTTGAGAAGTGATGCAGTCTTCCTCCTTTGTAAGGCATGAAGGAGTGAGAGTTCACCCAGTAAAGGGCATAGGACATTCCAGTCAGAGGAGCAAGGCACAGGGATCAAATGGGACACGGTAAGGAAGAGGCAGTGTGGCTAGAATGTTGGATTCATGAGGACATTGGCAGGAGAGGACAGGAGAGGCATGACAGAGCCTTGTCATGTGGGTGGGAATGGAACAATAAGCTGAGGGCAATGGGAACAATGAAAGGGTTTTAAGCCTGGGAAGACAAATGCTCAGATTTGTGTTTTCATGAAGATTATAGCTGCAGTGTGCAGAACAGATTGGAGAGAAGGGGAGATGTCAAGAAAACCCACTAGAAGGTTGCTGATAATCCAGGTGAGACCCTAAACTGAGGCAGTGGCCACAGAGGTGGGTAGAAGTGGACCGACCGAGAGAGAATCAGGAGCCAGGATCGATGGGGCTTGTCCCAGATTGGGTACAGGGAGTGGGAGAGGTGGAGTTGAGGATGACCACACCAGGTTTCTGGTTCAGTTTTCTCCCCAGTTTGGACCTACTCCATGGCCCACAGAAACAGAGGCCAGGATCATGAGACCAAGCACTGAGGATATGAGCTGCAAGTACTCTGGGCACCAACCGAGACCCCTGGGGAGCCTCAAACCCGTGACCATGAATCCAGGCAAGGCTCATGAATGAGGCTAGCTGAGCAGTGTTGTTTTTTTTTTGTTTTTGTTTCTCCAAATTGGAAGCCTGGATTAGACAACACGAGAAGCCTGAATGAAGCCCCTGCTCCCAACTCTCTCAGGCAAAGGGCCACAGTGAATGGAGGGCTAGGACCACAGCCAAAGGTACTCGACTTCAGGCCTAGAAAGGACTAAGCCTTGATGCGGGGAAAGGAACAAGCAGTCTCTGAGTACTTCACTGTGCAAAAGCCCCCAAGCCAGGGGCCCAGAAGATGTGACTTTAACACCTGTAAACAATCATTTCAAGTATATGGTATCTCCGTTTCACAGATATGGAAATGAAGGCCCAGCAAAGGTAAGTGACTTGCCCAAGGACACACAACTAGTTGGTGGTGATGAACTTAGAATCTAGGTCTAGTTGACTTCAAAAGCCCGTGCTCTTTCCACTTTTCGTTATATCCCAAAGTAAAGGAGCCAGCCTAGTGCCCCAAGTCCCTCAGAGCCTCTGCCCACCTCCCACCCCCACCTCCTTCTTCCATATCCAGACTGGCCCTGAGCCCAGCAGGCCAGCAGAAGACATCATTCACCCTCTTATCCACTTCAACCTAAGGTTTCAACTATTTGTAAGGTGCTGTGCTTGATCTCACAGGTTTCCCATCAAGTCCCACGTGTGACTCAGGGGACAGAGAAGAACAGAGTGGGCAGCTTTGGCTCCCCATTTGGGGAAGCAGAGGCAGTGGCAGTGGCAGCAGCAGCAGAGACCCTGGTCAGGACCTACCTTGCTGGAAGAGAGTGAGTGTGACGGAGGTGACGAGCAGGAAGAGGGCCTCAATTGGGGGAAAGTGGGCAGGCTCATGAGCAAAGATGTGGACCAGCTACAAGAAAGCAGGGAATGCTGGTCAGCTGAGACCCAGTCTCACCAGGATAGAGCAATATCCCTGGAATGCAAGTGGGGACCCCAGCCACAGCAGCCATCTGACCCACCCCCACCCAGGGTCAGGAGCTCTGCCCCAACCAGAAGGCCCACCTGTCGAGTGAGGTCAAGAGCAGAGGCCTGGGGGATGGTGCTGTACATCCGACCCAGCATCTCACACAGCTGTGGCACCATGGGGGCAAAGTCATCCAGCAGCGTCTTAACAGACTTCTCAAAGATAGCGCACACCGCCTTGGGAAGAAAACAAAGGGGCCCTGGTCAGCAGGTCATGACTGGCTGGAACAGCGCTGAAGCCCTGCACAGAGGGGGCCTAAAATCGGGCCCTTACCTATAAGCCTTGCCTGGCCCTGCAAACAAAAGAACGTAAGCAAGTCTGACCCTTACCCTGAAAGGCAGGGGCAAAGGCCCTTCACTGAGGGGCAAAGGATGTAACTGTAGAACTTAACTCCTGCTACTTACATCTCTACCATTTCCTCTCAGGGAGCAGCAACAGCAACAAAAACCTGAATTGATAAGGGACCAAAGGCAGGTCTCTGGTGCTAAAACAGATGCCTGAGTGTCACTCGACCTTAATATTACAGTTCTTGCATTAAGCACTTCTCATATTGGGGAGTTCTAAATGTCTTCCCAAAAGATTCCTTATCTCTATGGGGCAGGATTCACCTCCCTTGTTTCTCCAAACCATTGTAAGCTGAAGTGTGGCAGTAACATCTTACCCTGCTACACCTCTGAGCAGTCACTGTGGGAGCAGAGGACAAGGGTCAGGGCTCACCTCCACAACCTGGGCATCATTCAACCATTTGCTCAGCACCTTCTGGATAAGCTGGAAGACCTGCTGCAGCACCACCACCACCTGAAGACACAGGAAGAAGTGAAGTGCTTCTGCTATTGATCACTGTGACCCACTTGAGAAGGACTTGGTAGCAGGGAGGAGGGGAGCAGTTCAAACCTATTACCCCAGAATGCACACTGAAGACCCAGTGCATGGGTCCCCTAGGGGAAGAAGTGGTTTGCTGAACTCTCTCATGAATGAAAAAGGAGGATATCCTGAATTCTAGGGATCATCTCAAAGGAAGCCTCAAACTGCAAAGCAGAGATATCACAAGTGCTTCATAACGTTATAAAAACTTTGTAGACTTAAAAAAAAAATCACCCCCTATCTCTGCTCTGTAAAACCAAGGCTATGGACTAGCCTCTGAAGAAGTGCAGATGTTATCTCCTCCAAATAGGCTTGAGGTAGGGAGCCCCAAGGAATGCACAGATGCAGGCTTAAGCTGCTCTCCCAGCTTACGGAGGAGTAGAGAGCAGACTGAGGTCCTGGGAGGTGAGGAAAGGCAGGATGATGACTACCATGTAAAGAAGCAGCTCTGTGGGATGACAGTGGCCCAGGTGTGGTCTAAAGCCAAGAGGCTAACTGAAACTGGGTTGGGGAGTTAAGCAAAGAGGCCACGATGCCCATGGCTTCCTTTTCTCCTGGAGAAATCCTGGAGGGAGTTCTGGGAATAGCAACCAAAGCAGTCTTTGTAAAGAACTTTACAATATGCAAACTACCTTCACTTAAGACCACATCTGCTATCCAGCACAGTTCTATGAATTGAGTAAGCCAGACATTTCAGTGTTCTAAGTTTTTAATGGGAAGCTGAGGCTTGCCCCAGATCAAGCAGCTTCTAAGTGGTCACCCCAAAACCTGTGCCCAAGCTTATCACAAGACTTATCACACTGCTTTGTGACAATCTGAGCAACTTGAATTTCCTCTGCACTGGGAGCAACTTGAAGGCCAGAACTACTACATGTGGAGGATGTAATGAGCATCCTTAGTGCTCACAGGGGACAGTAAATGTTGAAGTAGAAGGCCCTACAGAGCTGGAGGTTGAACAGGGGCCCATAATAACATCACTTAAGGGTTGAAGGATATAACGTCAATGTCCCTCATGAGGCTGAGGAATCTCAATGACATCACCCTAATTGGGCTGGGGACAAGGACAACATCACACACAGAGTTGAGTGAGATAATGACATTGCTACCTACAGAGTGAGGCAATTTTAGGTCATTCATGGAGTCAGAGGACCAAATATATCACCCCCACGGGGCAGGGTGAACAATGACAACATTACCCACAGAATTGAAGAGTGACAATGACATTCCCACAGGTGGGGGTGGGGGGATGGCAAAGACAATGTCACCCACGGGGTTGGGTCCCTGTGGCACTGGCAGCTTCCGAAGCTCAGGGCCTTCGTGATCATCCTCATGATGACTGATGTCCAATGTGGTGAAGAGGTTGGAGAGAAGCCCCAAGATGTGAACAATGGCCAGCTTGTTGGAGGGATTGGGCTGCAGGGAGAAGCAAACCAAGCTCCAGATCTCCTAGCCCCAGTTTGGTCCCCAGATCACTGAGCCCCAGCTCTAAGGGCCAGCTCCACCTTCACCCCTCATCAGCCACAGCGTACCAGTACTGCTCCCGGCCCCCAGAGCTCACTCACTATCTCCTCTGCCAGCTTCTCCAGTTGCTGGATATAGGGTGAGATAAGCGAGTGCAGGTTCTTAAGAATCTCCTCCACTTGAAGAGCTGACAGCAGGAAGCCCAGCGCCTGCATCAGCCACATGCACTGGCTTGTCTGTGGGGCAGAACATGGATGGTCAGTCCTGGCCACATCTAGTTGTGGGGTAAGAAGGAAAACGGGCCTCTTGGGAGAAGAAAAACACAGAGAATAAGGGGTAAGAGGAAGGGGAAGGCCAAAAAAACAGGATTTCAGGGAAGAGATTCCCACAAGACCCCCAAGGAGACCCCTAGAAACTTCTGAGCCGCACCTTGTGGATCTGTTTCATCAGCACATCCTGCGGGGGAGAAAGAAGGAATGTAGTATCAGCACAGTGCAGAGTGTGCTCTGAAGCTCAGTACCATCCAGGGCCCCTGCATACCTGGGACACGGCCACGATGTTGGCAGCATAGGGAGGCAGGTCATACTTGCACTCTCGGCAGATCTTCTTGAGGGTAGACACAGAAGAGACAGAGAGCTCAGGATTGCCTAGGGCATGCAGTACCAGGGGCAGAACACTGTTGATCATGACGGGGTGGTCAGCCAGCCATTCAGACAGAGCTCCTGGAGGAAGGAGGGAGACAGAAGGATCTTTGAGGCAGGCCAGACTGGCTTTGTACCATGTCTCTGAGGCAAGCAGAGTTCCTGGCAGGGTCAAGTTGCAGCCCTAGCACAGAGCACTGCTCCATTCAGAGGACATATGCATGTGCATGCTCAAACATGAGCCTTACAGCTGAGAAGCAGGGAGAGGTTACTCAACAGAAGCCCAGTACTGCTGTTTCACTGACAGTAAACTAGCCTCACTGAATTCAGCTCAGTGTGCCATCAGATGGACCCCCTAGACCTGCCAGGACAGTCAGTTTGTTACAACACTGATTGTGTGTAGGCACATGGCTCTCCCATTCTGGATAGAATCCAGCATGCTGGCTGTGGCCGGGGTGGCGTGCTGTGGCTCTGGGAATATGGTCATGGGTGTGTGCCAGGTCTCACCAATGGTGAACATGACAGTGTCTGCCAGCTGCACGTTGCTGATGCTGATCCGTGGGATGAGGCCAATGAGCCCAGGCACCACATCAGAATAGTTGACGTCAATGGTCTCTGCGATGGATTGGAAGCCGTAGAGGAGGGCCTCTGTGTGCTGGGGAAAGAGGGTGCCACTGGCTTGGATGAGGAGGAGGGTGTGACAGGTCTGGGAGGGCTGAGGGAATCAGGCTTGGGAGGTACCTGCCAGGAGTAGGGCTCCTCTGAGCTGGTGAGCAAACGACCCAGCTTGTCATAGAGGTTGCTGAGCAGCTCGGCCCCCAACATCTCATAGACATACATGAGCGTGTCTGAGATGTCCACCCTGAGAAGCAGATGAAGGCCTTTTATACTGCCTGGATCCTGACCCTGGATCCTGCCCCCAAGCCCAGGAGCCTACCCCAGTACCCCCACAACTCTGCAACAATGCCTAGAAAACAGAGAAAGGAGCCCCAAAATTCAGAAAGCCTGGCCTTGGGCCCCTTCCCTCATTGCCTTCATTATTTCTGGACTCCATTTTAGAGGAGCTGGCCTGCTACCATCACCTGTAAATTCGGAACTGCTCCTTCTCGTCTGAGGACCAGAATCCATATTCCTCATCAGAAGGGAACTGGGCCTTGTGCAGAAGCACATCCACCAGCTGGAAGTAGACTGGCCGGTACACCTGCTGGTATACAGCCTGCTTCTCTGCCTCAAAGGATAGAATATCATCCTGAGAGAGCCAGGGAAGACAATTAGCCACCTCACCAGCAGCCATAGAAGCCCATGATCCACCTTCTTCCACCACAGCCCAGTCCTACTGGAGATCACACAGACACACCTGCAGCGTGTACCAGAAGGTGAGGGTTAGGGAGCTGGTGGTCTCATTGACCGGATAGTGGCCAGGGATGCCTGTGCAGAACATAATCATGTTGACAAGTGCCAGGAAACTCTGCCAGTGCTCTACTTGGTCCAGCAAGGCCCTGGGGAGGAGGAGACACAGTCAGGTCATTCTACCTCTCCAGGGACTTCCATAACCCCACCTCTTAGAGGGCCCTACTATCCCACCCCCAGCTGCTCCACCCCTTACCGGGAGTGGTTCTCGCCCAGGGCCACAGCAATGCGACAGATGCCATGGGAGGTCTCCATGTCCCCGTTCTGCACTGCCTGCCGCAGTTGTTCCTGCAGACCCAGCACCAGCGGGATGAGCTTCAGGAGCGTGTTCACGTACCTAGAGGCATGAGGTAAGAAAATCCATCAGAGCTCTCTGCTCACCCCCACACTGGCTTTAAGAGAAAGGCATAATCTCCTTGTCTTCCTTTAAAGCTCCCCTCCCCTTATTAAATCCTAAGCAAAACAAGGGTCAGGGTCTACATGGCAGATTTGATGTTCCCTATGTTGGGAAGAACCTTAGGTCAGAGCCCCCAGAACTCTGAGAGGGAAGTATGAGAAGGTTGGTATTACGGGTTGAATTGTGTTCTCCAGGTGGACTGCGAGCTGATTCCAGAATGGGTGAAGATTTTGTTTTTTGAGATGGGGTTTTGCTATGTTACCCAGGCTGGTCTCGAACTCCTGAGCTCAAGAGACTCGGTCTCCTGCTCAGCCTCTGGAGTAGCTGGGATTACAGGTGTGAGCCACCACGTCCAGCTAGGTTACAACTTCTGGGGAGGTTGAGATGAAGTGAATATATTTTGCATGTGGTGATAACATGAAGTTTGGGGCACCAGAGGGCAGACTCGCATGGGTCAAATTATGTCCCCACAAAAAAGATACGTTTTTTGATAAATCCTAATCCCCAGTACCTCAAAATGTGGCCTTATTTGGAAATAAGATAATTGCAGATGAGGTTATACTGGAGTAGGATGGACCTGAACTCCAATATGACTGGTGTTCTTATAAGAAGACATCCATGTGAAGACAGAGACATACAGGGAGAATGCCACACGAGGACTAAAGTAGAGAGTGGAGTGATGCAGCTGGAAGCCAGAGAACACTGAAGACTGCCAGCAAACCACAGAGCTAGCAAGAGGCAAGGACGGAGTCTCCTACAGGTTTCAGAAGGAGCTCAGCCTTGCCAACACCTTGATTTCAGACTTCTAGCCTCCACAATTGTGAGACAATGAATTTGTTTGGTTTTAAAGCCACCTAGTTTGTGGTACTTTGTTATGGTAGCCCTAGGAAACTGATACAGTCTGGCAGGGGTGATTGAACAAGAGTGGGAGACAGAAGAGTAAACACAGGATCAGAAGCCCAGATTAAAAAAAAAAAAAAAAAAAAAAGATTTTGGAAGGCAGCAACAGCTCATGAGAGCATCAACCCCTGCCATCCACTCTACTCTCTACCACCAAATCCCAACTCTTGAGGAGTCTGGTGGCAGCACGGAGGGAGAGAAATAGATAATGAACTCAGAGCTAAGAGGCCAAACAGACAGGATTTGACGACTGACTGGATATGAGGAAGGCAAAGAATAAAGGCAACTCTCAGGTCACTGGCTAGACAACTAAATAGATGGTGGAGCTATTTACTGAGACCTGTGGGGTGAGGAATGGGGAATAGCAACACCTTTAATGGGAGGTGGAAGGTGATAAGCTCAGTCTTAGATAAGTTGATTCACAGACACCTGATAGGTTATGCAGGTAGAAGCATCTAGAAAGAGTTGGATATAAAACCCTGAAACCCAGCATAGAGGTTAGAGCAAAAGCCATAGATTTGAGAGTCATCAGCTAACAGCTGGTAATTGAAGCTACGGGAGTAGATGAAAATTGCCCAGGGAGAATGTGTTGAATGAGAAAAAAAAATAAGAGGGTCCAGATCAGAGCCCTGAAACACAACGATCTCTAAAGGAGAAGGATAGATAGCCCAGTATACAAAGGGGACTGAGAGAAGCCTGGCTCAGCCCACTGGATCCCTCTTCAGCACCTTGGTCTGTGGAGATGAGACTAAGCAGAGGAAGCCACGCTCTAACAGTAGGGATCAGGTGCTTGGGACCCCTCTGTTGTCAATCATAATGTCACCATAGCAATCTATTTTAGGGAGTGGGGGACTGAGGATCCCAGAAGGAGTTCTATCTGGACTTGCCCCAAGCAGGTTGCTAGGCAGTAGCCTCATATCCTTGGTGGGAGGATGAGAATGACAAAAAGAGGCAACCAGCCCAGGGACATCGGCCTCCTTCTCCACATCCCCATTCTGGTAGGAAAAGTCATCCATGCCAGGATATCCCCAGCCCAGAGACAGCCCCAGGGGGTGCTGCCTGGAGACGGCTGGGATAGCTTCAGTCTCCTGACCCTGACACGGGCTGCACCACCAGACAATGGGCATTTTCAGGCCAGACTCTGGCACAAAGACAAGGGGCAGGGCCAAGGCTATGGCCCACAAGCTCCTCAGCAACTGAGATGGGTGCAGGAGGCAGCGCTCTACCCCCATAGCATCTCCACTGTATTCTAAGGCTCCTTCCTCCACCTGCCAAAGTTTATGCAGATGGCAGATACTCAGTGAAGGTTCTTAATGTGTCTCATCTGAGCCTCATAATAGAACAAATCAAGGATAATACAGCCTCAAAGGGCTCAGAGTATCATATCACTCAAGGTCATACAACTTAGAAGCAGAATCCAGGTTGAAACTTCCCCTTAAACTGCTACAGGTCTGCTTTTCTTTCAGGGCCCAACCAGGATTTCCCCAAAGGATCTATGTGCATCTCAGCCCATATCTCCAGTCCTAACTGATGGGAGCCCCCAACAGCCTGCCTCATTCACTTTCCCTCCCTCCCTAACTCCCAAGGAAAAGCTTTTCCAGCATTAAAAACATATTTCTGGAAAAAAATACATTTCAAAGGAGAGAGCCAGGAAGCAGCAGCAGCTGTGGAGGAGCAAGAAAAGGGTGACTTGAGTGCAAGCTTAGCTAAGGGGAGGGCCAATGTCAGGACACCTGGGGAAGGCGTGCCTGGATGACCCAGGAGTCAAAGCCACTGAAGGTGACTTTCACAAGCCAAAGCTGGGAAACTAGACTGGGTAGAGCAAGGACCAGGCTCGGATTCTGGGTTGGATGCAGCTCACCCATGGGAAGAAGTTCCTGCATAGATTTCCTACCACCTGAGCACCTGTGTCTGCGACCTGTGAGTGGACAGAAGACCAAGTCTGAGGTCCCAGAGGTTTCTAGGTTTGGGGGAAGGAGACAGGGAGGATGTCTTTGCGACCACAGCTGAGGCTGGGTTCAAGAGGCCTGGCTCCAATCGGTCAGTTCAAGTAGCCGAGGCAGGGCTGCTGGGACTCCTCCGCTGCTGCTCACACGGAGCTCAGCCCAGACCTGCAATTAGAGCTTCACTTCAGGAGCAGAGCTGAGAAAATGGGGAGAGTTGCTAAGCAACCAAGGGGCTGCAGCCAATGGGCGCCAAGGAGGCTGTGGGTTACCTCACTGGCTCCTTGCTCGCTCATTCGTTCAGAGGAGAAGGGGCATCAATTACCTGCCAAAGCCCTTGAGACTGGCTGGGCGGGTAAACTTGGGTGTATCCAAGGACACCTCACATCACCCACACACTTGCCCTGATCTGTTTCCCTTAGTCACCAACTGTCGGAGCCCACCCAGCACTTGAGCTTCAGGCTGCCAAGAGAGGCCTTGATCTGGGACTAGGTATCCACCTTAAGCTGGAAAGCCTGGGAAGCCGGGGGATAGGTATCATAATAACTGCCAACACAATAATGAAACCAAATACTGGCAACTGCTGTTTACGGAGTACATAGGAACCATGCTAAAAGCTTCACGTTCTCTTATTTAATCCTCCTACCGAAACAATCTTTTATTTTTTAAAATCAACCCCAATGTTTAAAGTTTTAAAAGGCAGTCGTTAAGCACATTATCTATGTGTGTATGTGTGCGTGTGTGTGTGCATATACATATATACACACATACATACACACACACACACACACACACACATACATATATGAAACCAACTCCTTTTCAAATTTAGCCACTGAACAATTAGGCCCACTTTCTATCGCATGATTCCGGTTCTACTTCTTATGACCAATTCTAAGAGTAAACAGCCTTAATCCATTTAATAGTAACTATGTTTCTCTTTTAAAAAATAAACAGTTGGCCAGGCATGGTGGCTCATGCCTGTAATCCCAGTACTTTGGGAGGCCGAGGCAGGTGTATTACCTGAGGTCAGGAGTTCAAGACCAGCCTGGCCAACATGGCAAAAACCCGTTTCTACTAAAAATGCAAAAATTAGCCAGGTGTGGTGATGCACGCCTGTAATCCCAGCTACTCTGGAGGCTGAGGCAAGAGAATCGCTTGAACCTGGGAGGCGGAGGCTGCAGTGAGCCGAGATTGTGCCACTGCACACCAGCCTGGGCAACAGAGTGAGACTCTGTCTCAAAATAAATAAATAAATAAATAAACAAACAGTTACCATTAACCATTAACAGTTACCATTACCATCACATAAAGTATAAATGAAGAACATACACACACAGTTCCCATTTTAAAACATGTAACGTATGAATAACCCAAACATACAAATGCATGCTGCTGACCATCCCAATCCCAGCAGAGACCACAAAAGAACTCCCATTACTCAAGGAGTCAAAATACTCTTTACCGAACACCAGGGGCAGGACTTATGCACATTATCCTATTTAAACCTTTACAACTCTGTGGGGTTGATATGATCATCCCCATTTTATTGATGAGGAAACTGAGGCTTAGGAATGGTTTATCCAAGATTTCAGATCTAATAAGTGAACATTCTGGGATTCAAATTTAGATGTGACTAACGCCAAGGCTTGAGTCGTTAGCCACTGTCCATGAAATCTCTTTCAATGGTTTTCCCTTCCAATTCTGCCAAGGGTCCCAAAGCCCCATCTCTGAAATGTCAGTGTCAGGGCCTCCAAACTCACTTTTTCTAATCCAGCTCATACCAAAAGTCTCAGTAGGCCATTTTCTCTGCTTAAAATCCTTTAATATCTTTATATCATCTTCAGGATGAAGATCAAAATCTTAAACTTGGCCAAGGTCCTGCATGATCTGGGCCCAGGTCTCCTATAACTCTGGCCCTTAAATCCTGCTGTCTAATCACACCTAATGATTTACAGATCACCAGACCCTCTGGGCTTTCACTCTTCCCTTGCTTGGGCTCTTCCATCTGTCTGGAATGTCCTCCCTATCCATCACTTCTATCTGGCTAACTCTTACACAGCTGGGTTGTCACTTCCTCTGGGAATCCTTTCATAGCCCTCAGACTCAGTGAAAGCCTCCTCTGGGTTCTTGAAGGCCCCTGCATTCTCCATCAGAGGATTCATCATGTTGATTGTACTTGCCATTCATGTGTCCACTAGACTGTGAGCTCCGGAGAGACTGAAGCTAAAGGATTTGTCTCTGTGCTCCCAGAGCTCAGCACAAGGCCCAAAACAGGACATGCTCAATGAACATTTGCAAAACAAACACTTCACTACACTCACTTCTTTAGGGCCCTTGAATATATCATGATGCTGCCCACAAGTCTTTGCAGCTGCTGTGGTTCCTAAAGCCTAGAACACTCCACCCTCCTCCCCCAATCCCTTCCATCCCCACCCCTCCTAACTCAGGCAACTCCTACTTTCCTCCATTCAAAAAACATCGGATGCTACCATGTGCCAAGCACAATGTGACAAAGTAAAATGACAGAGTCCCTGTCCTCACAGAGGTGAAAGAAATCATGTTATGGGCTAAGAAGGAAAAATACTGGGAGCTCTGAGGTAACATAAGAGAGAAGATCAAACTTAGCCTTAAGAATCCATTGAGGACTTCCCTATGCTTAAGCTGAGGCAAGGTGTCAAGTACATGTGATGAGCCAGAGGCTGAAAGGAACATGGGACATTCAAGGAATTAAAGAAACTGTGTGAGAGTGTAGAGAGCAAGGAGAGTAGCATGAGATGAGGCCGGTGATGCCACACTGTGCAGCACCTTTATGAGTCACATTAAGGATTCCGAGCTTTAACCTAAGAGCACTGAGACGCCACTGAAGGCTTCTGATCAGAAAGATTAGATCCCCATTTTCAAAAGATCACTCTGGCTGCTGGGACAATGAAGGGTATAAAAGTGAGGACAAGCTCTACAGTAACCTGGGGAGAGAGACGATGACAGCTTGGACTAAGGTGGTAGCAATGGAAATGGAAAAAAAAATAGATTTGCAATGTGGTCAGGAGGAGAACAGCCAGGACTTGGTGACTAGTTGAGAGAAGGAAAAGAGAGTCAAATATTTTAATTGAATAACTGATAATTAGTTGTTTAATGTCTGCCTCCCTGTCTGAACCATGAGGACAGGGACCATGTCTTCTTTGGTTCCTTGCTGTATCTCCAGCATAGGACCAGGTATCAATACACATTCAATTAATGTTCATTGAACAGATGGATGGATGGATGTGTGGCTGGCCAAAGAGGCTGTCTTCTGCACGGGTGGGGACTAGCTCACCTCTGGGCATCAGGCTGTGAGATGGCATTCACAATGGCCTCCACACTGCTGTCGAAGAGCTCCGAGTCCTGCAGAGCAGCGAAGGCAGCCTGAATGAGCGCCTCACAGTCCTGCAGTGGCACCTCCAGCTGCACCCAGCTGGAGAAACACTTGAGCACCTTCTGACGCACACAGCTGGGTGAGCTGGGCTGCTGTAGTAGTTGCTCCAGCAGCGGGAAGACAGCCCCACATTCCACCGCCAGGCTGGTCCGCACCAGGCCTTTGCGGTACTGGGGTAGGCGGCTGGTCTGGAACTCCTCAGGCAGCACTGTCAGTAGCTCTAGCAGGGCTAGGCAGCGACCCTGGCCATCCACTGGTGAGTCCTCAGCCTGGAAGAGTCGTACCATATCTGCCACAGCACATGGCCAAGCGTCAGGCATCATGCTGAGAGCCAGTGAGGCCAGTGCCACGCACAGCCGAGTCAGTACAATCTTGGAGCCACTGGCAAAGCGGGTGATCTGGGTGAAGAGCTGTGCCTTTAGGCTTTCATACTGGTCAGTGGGGATGTCACTCCAGTAGCGAGAGATCTTGATGTGAAGAGCACTGGCCCCAAAGTACTGGATCTCTGGTACCTTGTCAGGTTGCAGTAGCTGCCAGCTGAAGTGCCAGGCCTGTGGGGAGACCTGGGCCTGCATCAGCCACTTCTGAGCCAGGTTCTTGTTCTCAATGTTGGGGTCATAGTAGAGCTGGTGCAGCGCCTGCAGGACAGCACAGGACTGAACAGGTGCTGGCCACTCTGGATCCTGCCAGAGCCCAGAACAGAGGCGTGACTTGGTCCTGCAAGGGTGCTCCCTCTCCCTGACTGGGGGGCTGAGCAGGGAGAGCTCAGGGCTCTGCAGTGTTTCCTGGGCCTGGGGTCCTGCTGATATCTTGAGAGCCTGAACCTTGTTCATGCTCTACCATATCCTCTTCTCCTTATAGCAAAACATTATGGGTTCAGAGAGGGAATCTCCACAGGAAAGCGAAAAAAGAGGAAGCTGATTTCCCCAAAGGGGAGGCACTTGAGGGCAAAGCCCAGGTGGAAGGAACAGCTTCGCAGGGATGAAGCTAAGTCTGAGAAGGGCATGGAACAGCTTGAGGGGACTTGACCCTCCCAGGCACAGCTGCTCCCATCAACTCCAACAGCTCCTTTCAGCTCCCCCAGGATCATCCCTAGGTCACTCCAGATGCTGGCACCAAAGCCAGTGTGAAATCAGAGCAGGACTAAGACTTTTTCCAGGCAGCCCTGGGGCACAGATATACTGGAGGGGAGGGTGAGAACACTCCTCAGAGGGCACATGTCCAACCAACTGATCCAGAGAAGCCTTGGCCATAGCTGCAGCCCTGGCAAACACCTCGCCTAGTGCTCTCCACTAGCAGAATCCCCAGGGTCTCAATTCCAATGGGACTTTATCAAGTAAGAAAACAGTGAGATTTATCTCCCAATAGCACATGGAACAGTGCGCCACCATGCCAACACTGCCCTGCTCCAAGGGGTGGGAGAGTGTGGCCAGGACCCTGACCCTTAATCAGGCTCCATCCAAGTAGGCTTAGCTCTATTCGTACCCCTGACAGCCAGTTACGGCCATTGGCCCTTGTTTGGCCCCTCAGGGATGCCAAAGCAGACAGAAGAGATGCATCCTCATTATTTGTTATGGCAAACAGGGTTAAGGATAACAAGTGAGCATCTGCAATCATTCCCTGCTTTCAAGTAAGGGAGCCCTATCTCCCCATTCATCCCAGGGTGTATGCATTCCTGCATTTCAGGTTGTAGGGAGCAGATACAAAAAAGAACTAAAGAGGCAGTTCAGAAAGATGGGCTGGGCAGTGGGGGAGCCTGGGAGGGCCATGGCAGGGAGCTATGTGGGCAGGTGAGTAGGGAGGAGCCCTGTAAGGCTCCCAGCTGGGCCAGGACCCTTGGACTCAGCACAAAACAAAGGGAGACAGCCCCAGGCCTGCCTGCTCAGGACTGGTCTGGCTTCCATCCAATAAAGGAAGGACCCTTCTTCAAAGAGTCGAAACAACCCAGATTGTTTTAGTTCCAGATCATTTTCTGAGCCCTTGGCTCAACAAAATCAGGTCCAGGATGGTTTGGCATCAGGATAATTCCAGGAGACTGAGCTGCAGGTCTCCTGGGTTCCCAGTTGCCTACTGCACTGCTCATGCAGTTCCCATGGAGCTGGAAAATAGCCAGTCTGGATGGGAGGCTAAGTCACAGCACCCTGAAGGAACCATCCCAAGACCCTAGAGTATCTGTCCACAGGGGACCTGCCTGTAAGGAAAGACAAAAATAGCCCATTAGGGCACTGCAATACTGCCTGCCCAGATAGACAGCAAATGCCAGGTGCTCTGGGGGCACCATACCAGCGGGCACCCAGCCCAGGCCTGAGCTCTGCCATTAGTGACAGTCCCCAGAACTTCTGCTCTGTCACTGGAGTGCCCACCCCAGAGCCCTCATACCTTCTCCACGTTCTCCACAGTGAAGTCCAAGGCTGGTGCTGCTCCAGCCCCTGCAGCCCCCGGCTGCTCCTCCCGCCGCTCCATCTTTGCTCCCTCCCTGGCAGGGAGGTGGGCCCTGATCTGTCTCCTGCCCCAGCCCCTTGGCTGCTGGCCCCCTGCTAGACCCCGGCTTGGGTGCCCAGGGAGTGGTGGGGTGAGGGGGAGCCCAGGGCGGGCATGGCTGCCGAGGCCTCCCCACCTCGTTTGGGGGTGGGAGGCTTGCCAGAGGCCAAAAGGGGTGCTCTTAGGAGACCCAATGAAAGGGACTCCGAGGAGGGAGCCGTCAACGAGGAGCTCTCAGGCAGGGATCCTAGTGGTAGGTAACAGCTCTGTCCCCAGAATCTGTGTGGAGGGAGTCACTGGGGAGGGAGGCCTGCGGGAGAAACCAAGTCCCTGGCTCTTGAGGGGTCACAAGGTCGATGGCCTGTACCCACAACACCCCCGCCTGGGTGAGCTCTCGGGTGCTATGAAGAGGTCATGGGGCTGGAGGGTCACGGGGGAGAGAGCCCTTCGTGGTTACGGAGGCGTCCGACGAAGCGCGGAGATGCAGCTCCGCGAGTCTGGGGCGAAGAGTCCGTGGAGTTGAGGGGCTGTGGCAGGTCCCTTCCGTTCGGCCTGGCCCGCGCTGTTCTCACCGCCCCGCTACAGCCCAGCTACCGCCGCTGCCTCCGCCCCAGTGACTGACAGACAAGCCCGCCCGGCCGGGACGGGGCAGGGACCTCGGCAAGGCGCGGGCTGCCCCGAGCGCCTGTCCCCGGCACCGCAACTCAGGCCCCCCACTCTCGCCAGTTCTGGCTCGGCACGGCCCGGCACCGCCCGGCACGGCCCAGCGGAACTGCGCGGAAACTCATTCCGGGTCTTTAGCCTTGTCCTCGCGCCAGTCCGCGCTCCCCTGAGCAGGCGGTGGAGTGGCACGCCGCCCCAGGCCCCCGCAGAGTCTAGGCCCCGCCGCTGTTCACCCTGGGAAATGTAGTCCATGTTGCGCCTAGCCGGAAGGCGGCGCCCTGCGGAGGAGGCCGGGAGCACGTGGGTTGGGGACCTGCAGAGCCCCGCCTGTCCTCGGCCTACCGCGGCCAGCAGGCATTCCGGGTCAGACCGGCGCGGGGCGCTGCGGCCCAACTGCTTAGTAGGAGAACGTGACTCGAGGGGCCCGAGGACGGAGGTGGGAGCCCGGGCTAGAGGGTGGAGGCTGGGGAGGTTGCCTGGTGACTCTGGCGCTCCGCTGCGAGGGCATCCTCCAGCCCAGCAAAGGTGCAGCCTGGGAAGAAGGCGTCAGCACCACCCAGAGAAGAGGAGAGGGGACTTGGCACGCCTCAGGAAGGAAAAAAGGAGGGCTCTTGGGACCACCCAATAAGCAACCGGGAAACCACATACCATGGACAGTGCTCGGGGAATTTCGTAAGGTTTTTGGAAGTAACTTTATGTGTTAACTAGAATAAGAGTAGCTTACATTTAAGTGCTAGGAGCAGGACTTTGCATACCTTAGGTTCAGTTTTCTTAGTAGCTCTGAGCTGAGTATTTTTATTCATCGTTTTCAGATGAGATGAGGAAATCGAGCTTGGGGAAAGTTAGGCTTATCTTGCCCTTGGCACAAAGACAGGGTGGCAGACCCTGCCATAGGTCTGGTCTGCCACAGGCCCCAGTAGTTCCTGCCTCTCAGCCCTCCAGTTGTATTTTATTGTTTATTAACTCCTGCCAGCTACCCTAGCAGGGAAGAGGAAAAAAATTAAAAGTGCAAAGAGCTCTGTAGTTTTGTTCAAGTGGAGGAAGCTGGCATTGACAGCAGCCGCTGAGGCCTGAGAAGGTCCATGAAGGCTTCCCTGAGAAGAGAAACTTGATCTGAGCTTGAAGAATAGAGAGCCTGGGAAGGAGAGGGGCTCATTTAGCTGGTAAGCAAAATCCAGTGGGACTCTAAGTCATTCAGCAAGGCTTCATCAATAAAGAATAGCAAGTAGGCCGGGCGCGGTGGCTCATGCCTGTAATCCCAGCACTTTAGGAGGCCGAGGCGGGCAGATCACGAGGTCAGGAGATCAAGACCATCCTGGCTAACACAGTGAAACCCCGTCTCTACTAAAAATACAAAAAATTAGCCTGGCCTGGTGGCGGGCGCCTGTAGTCCCAGCTACTTGGGAGGCTGAGGCGGGAGAATGGTGTGAACCCAGGAGGCGGAGCTTGAAGTGAGCTGAGCTTGCGCCACTGCACTCCAGCCTGGGCGACAGAGCGAGACTCTGTCTCAAAAAAAAAAAAAAAAAAGAAGAAAGAAAGAATAGCAAGTAATTTATATTCATTTAAAGGGAATATATGTGGGGTGGGGAAGGGTGTGAGTAACAGAGATGAGGTTGGAAAGACAAGTTGGTAGCAATAGATTCTTATAGGAGTTTGGACATTATCCTAAGTGCAATATGAAACCATGATGGGGTTTCAAGTGAGCTATGATGATTACATTTGCATTTAGAAAAATCTGTCTGCAATATGAAAGACAAATTGAAGGAAGAAAGAGAGGCAGGAGAATTTGGAAGGAGGAAATAGAAAGCCAAAATAAAGTAACTGATTCCAGGCCTGTGCCTAGGGTGGGAAAGACCTTGGGCCTGGTGCTCCTGGCAGTTTCACTGGTGGAGGTGGTGGTGGGCAGGGGAGATGGTGTTGAGAGTGGGATTTAAGTGTACAAATTCTGGACTTAGTCCTGAGTTCAAAACCTGTTTGTGCCTCTTTCTAGCAATGAGACCTTAGCTTCTTCTGAAACTCATTTTAGTTAAGGGTGTTTTAGGGGTGGGGGGCTCAGCCCAGAGACCACACCTTTGTCAGTATGTGTTTTCTTCCTGCTTCCTATCCAGGGCTCCTCCTCACCCCTGCGGATTCCAGGGATCTGGCAGAGAAAGAAGCCCAGTCTCACCAGCAATGAGTCCTGAACATCCTTTGCAAACACTACTTAGGACAGATGGACTGAAGTAGGCCCTGGGGAGAGTTGGGGGCATTTCCAGAGGCCAGACCAAAGGTGATCTCCAGGAGATTTGGATGTTAGTGCTTAGAGCCAAGTGGCAGATAAGTCTTTGGGAGCCAGAAGGGCTCTTCTCTAAGGAAGAATTGTAGACCTATAGAGGCAAGAACCTGTGGCAACCCTGGGAGGGGTCTTCAGATTCAGGAGGGAACATCCCAAAACTCAGCAGATGGGGAGAGGGAGCTTTTGTTGGTCAACTGGAACCACTACCAATCCATGTTCATGTCAAATTAAATGATCACTTTGAAGTTTTTCAGCCTGCCAAAATCATGTGAATTTGGTCTGCAAAACCAGACGACTGCCTGCTTGTAGTTAAGAATTCTAGGCCGGGCGCGGTGGCTCAAGCCTGTAATCCCAGCACTTTGGGAGGCCGAGATGCGCGGATCACGAGGTCAGGAGATCGAGACCATCCTGGCTAACATGGTGAAACCCTGTCTCTATTAAAAATACAAAAATTACCCTGGTGTGGTGGCAGACACCTGTAGTCCCAGCTACTTGGGAGGCTGAGGCAGGAGAATCTCTTGAACCCGGGAGGTGGAGGTTGCAGTGAGCTGAGATCACACCATTGCATTGCAGCCTGGGCAACAGAGCAAGACTGTCTCACAAAAAAAAAAAAAAAAAAAGAATTATCAAGGGGAGATTGTTCCCCCTTCTTAGTACCAAGGTTGGATGCAGGCAGTTTTCTTTGTAGTCCCCTGGTTTGAGGGAGAGAGTTAAGTCAGACAGGGGCAGGTTTCTTTCTAATTCCCCCTCACAGTGTGGGCATACACTGGCCTTTGAGGTCCTGGCCTTATGGAGAAGTTTCTAAACAGACTCCCCATGGTGAGGGGGCCCTGGGCTTTGGCTTTCTCATAAGCTCAGGGACCCCTTGAAAACCAATGATCGGCCGGGCGCGGTGGCTCAAGCCTGTAATCCCAGCACTTTGGGAGGCCGAGATGGGCAGATCACGAGGTCAGGAGATCGAGACCATCCTGGCTAACATGGTGAAACCCCGTCTCTACTAAAAAATACAAAAATCTAGCCGGACGAGGTGGCGGGCGCCTGTAGTCCCAGCTACTCGGGAGGCTGAGGCAGGAGAATGGCGGGAACCCGGGAGGCGGAGCTTGCAGTGAGCTGAGATTGTGCCACTGCACTCCAGCCTGGGCGACAGCGAGACTCCGTCTCAAAAAAAAAAAAAAAAAAAAAGAAAACCAATGATCAGGTTCACTGGGTTCAGCAACTGCCCTCAAGATGAAAGCCAATGGCCGGGCGCGGTGGCTCAAGCCTGTAATCCCAGCACTTTGGGAGGCCGAGATGGGCAGATCACGAGGTCAGGAGATCGAGACCATCCTGGCTAACATGGTGAAACCCCGTCTCTACTAAAAAATACTAAAAAACTTGGCGGGCGCCTGTAGTCCCAGCTACTCGGGAGGCTGAGGCAGGAGAATGGCGTAAACCCGGGAGGTGGAGCTAGCAGTGAGCTGAGATCCGGCCACTGTACTCCAGCCTGGGCGGCAGAGCGAGACTCCGTCTCAAAAAAAAAAAAAAAAAAAAAGATGAAAGCCAATGATAGAGCTTTGCTTACCTTTGTAGCTTCTTGCTTTCATTTATTTTTTTGGCCTCAGTGCATTTCTTATGTTTTTGCCAGCTTATGGATGCATTTAATTTTAAAGACAGATAGAGTCTAATATTTAAAGTTGTTTTCAGCAGGAAGTTTAGCCCAAGTCCTTAGGCTACCATGTTGCAAGAAAACCTAATGGGAAGCTTTCGGCTCTGCTGCAGCTTGATTTGTGTGCTGCATCTGGCCCTGTTGGCCACTCCCTCAGCTCTTCTGTTTGGTTTTGTTTGTCCTGACACTCTGACCACTCCTGTTTGGTTTCCTTCACTGGCCTGTCCCTGTTCCTCCACCTGCTCCTTGAATGTTGGTTCTCCTTAGTCTCTGCTTCTTGTCTTAGGCCTCATTATCTCACCACTCCCCTGGCTTCAAGCTGTGACTCCTTGGATTTCTCCAGCCCAGACTGTCCTGAGTTTCAAACCTGCATATTCAGCTGCCTTCTGGCCCTCTGAATTTGCCACAGCACCTGAAGTTGAACATGTACAAAACTGAACTGACATTTTCCCCACAACTTAACCCTATCACATACTAAAATACTACATCCCCTGGGTTCCGTACCAGTCCCCAAAGGTAGACACCTGGAAACCATTTCTTAGCAAGCCCTCACCTCTCTTATTGCCCCTCACATCTCTTCTGTCCTTGCACATTGCTTCTGCCCTAACTCAAGGTACCTGTGCTTGTTGCCTGAAGAGCTCTAACTATGGCAGCTCTAGCTGGCTCCCACCTTGCCTCTTCCATCCATACTAGACACAGAAGCCAGTGATCCATCTGAAACACATCTCTAACCAAGCCCACTTAAAACCCTTCAGTGGCTCCTTTCAGAGCAAAGGCCGAGCTCCTTGGTATAACATTCAAAGCCCTTTGTGATCTCTCCAGCCTTTTGTCTTGATGGAGACCCTCCCCAAGTCCACTGGAAGCTGCTGGCAATCCTGGGAGCACACCAGGCTGTTTCACACTTCCCTGTCTTTTTTCATACTACTTCCTCTGCTGAGAAGGCTCTGTGTCATTCTGGATGCCATCAGGAGAGAGACACCACACAGTCAGCATGCAGGGAAAGTTTAATATAAGAATTTTGAACTGTAACAGGGAATTGAAGCTGTGATGAACTGGCTAGTAAAAAGTAAAAAAAATATATATATATATAAAGAATACAGGACTAGCAGAGTCTTCAGGCTGAGATGGAGAGCCCAAGGAAGAGGCCCTCACCTCTCTGCTCCATTCCTGTCCAGGGCTGAGGAGAACCACAACATGCAGGACAGGACATGGCCACAACAAACAGTGTAAATGTAGAAGTGAGAGGAAATAAAGGCAATCAGCAGTAACCAGTTTGGGTCCCATGCG